TTCAAATATATGAATATAAGCAGTTCATGTAATAGCAAATTTTTATGCGGTTAGTAATATCTGATAAGTTATCACACAGAAAACTATTTACCTACTACGTTCAATTGATAAATCTTTATTATTTATGTGTTTGCTATTTCTATAGAGTTAATCTTTAAGCACATTCTTATTAGAGTATTACAATACATATTTCTTTAGTCATACACATTACACACGCGCTTTTACCTTGGAAATAAAATTCATGTTATGTATCTTCAAGAATTAAATACTCCATAAATTCTGATGTCTTCTATTCTGGTAATAAACAATGATTTAATTGATAATGTTCCAATATCGATCACTTAAAGTATGATTACGGTTAACGTATCATGATAGAAAGATAAAGAAAAATTTATCACTGTCACTTGAACATTATCACTATAACTTAGGACTCAAATATACTCTTGTGGTAGCATATTTATACACCTTCAAATGATATAAGAATGTAGCATTAAATTATCAATTAATTTATATTTTAATAATATGTATACTGTTTGCCTATATGAACTACGTTCACACACTGTTAAAGTAACGAGTAATGGATACCTTCTGAATGAAACTCGCAGGCAATTGCCATAATGTTATCAAGCATAGTTAGAACGAATTTATAAGTCGATCAATATTAGCACTGCTCTAATTGATGGTAAATATTAACAAATGTACAGTATTCCTAAGTGACAAATGGGATAACTGTTTGCATTACACATGCATCAATAGAAAATTTAAACTGCTGTATTACGTGCATACCATTCGTGCTCGAATAATGTGTCTTATGATGAGATAAATTCCTGTCTGACCAAACATCATGGAACACAGAATTTAACCTATTCTTCTATTGATTGTATTTATACATTTCACTACATAGAAATATTTATTAATATTTATCGCAAATGCTTGCACTGATTGATTTAATTCTTTAAAAGCTGATATTATGTAATAAGGGTATATCTCTTGACTATGTAGGTACTAGTGATGAACTAACAAAAGTTCCATCAATATTTACTTAGCAACTGTTTAAGTAAAACTGTTGGTATATTTCCGCATGTAAAAGGCAAGTATATTGTAAGAGAATATAGATGATGTATAATTTTTTAAATGCGTAAAAAAATATTTACATGTATCACATTATATTTATATATATATATATATATATGTGTATATATATATATATATACAGATTTCTAACCTCCAACTGAATGCTATGCTATGTTTTCCTATATAGCTGCTTTACAGCTGGCACATTTGTCGTTTTTATAACATAAACACAAGATAAAAAGATAGAAATGCAACAACGTTGCTGTTTTACTAATTTCAAATCAATCCATTTCTTGAATAACAATCGATTGTCACAGAGACATGTGGCTCTGTTCGCGTCACGTTACTTCTTTACGTCTGTAATACCTTATCAGATAAAGAGATCAGATTCATACATACGATTAACTAAATGCAAGATCTAGAAAATTATTCATATAATATATAACAAAAATGAACATTCATTTTACATTTAAAAAACTTTATATATAAACTACTTTATATACAACTTTATAAACATACTAATATGTGCTGTTAGGAAGCTGAAGGATAGATTTCAAACTGTGCCTTGTGCAATATTACAGACACTTGCAGTTATAGGCCTGTTTTTTATTCCCGTACTAGACTACACTCGAATTTTTTTTTGCTTTCATCAAAAATCAAACATAATTTCACTTTAAGTTCCATCAGCGTACACTAGTTCAGTTATGGAAAACAGACCTCGTGTATTTCACCAACAATAAAATAATCATCCCAAACTTACTCTTTTCGATGAACGATAGATTGAGGGAATAACAGATGACTGCACTGTATTTATATCTCCTATATAGAACATCGGTCTGCTTGCATTCCTGAGACCCTGTAAAGAAAAAGAATCCCGTTAGATCAAGCGGAACATGTAATCTCATCTTAGGTCTGTTTTCTGTGACTGAACCAGTGTACACTTTTGGAACTTAAAATGAAATAGGTATATGTTTGATATTTGTCGAAAGCAAGAAAGACTTCTAGTGCAGTCTAGTGCAGAAACAGAAGACAGACCACTTGAAACGGTTATAAAGAGAATTTACTTGGTAACCATGTTCCAATTCAGTGTAAGACATGACAGATCCGGTCTCATTGATAAAACAAACACCTGTTTCACGTGTTTATGTCAGACAACGTCCTACGCACTGAAACTACCGTGTTAACTCACATCAATTGCATTAATTATTAATCTGTTAATATCATTTATAAACAAGTGCGAAATACTTGAGAGATGTGCAAGCTAAGAAAAAACAACTGTCTTATTCTTTTAATCTTACAGGCTCTTCTCTCTCACTTGAATTTCTAGCGTGTCAGCGAGTGTTTTTCAATGTTTTCTTTTCCAGTGATAATTTACAAGGAGGTTTACAAGAGCGTTCTTCTTCGGGTGTTCGTTAGCGACAATGTGCGTCGCTCGATGCGTTGTTTTCCTAGCAAGCTGTAATAGAAAGCAAATGTTTGCGGGGAGTTAGAGACGGGTAACGAGTTTATATGTCCACCGAGATAACTGCGTTTGTAATATCCGGCTAATTACAAACAATAGCGTCGAGTCGTATTTACCTTACTCCGATTTAATCAACGCGTAGGTGAAGTGCGCGCCATGCAAAACGACCGCATGAATTCGCCAGCAGATTTGTGCGGAGACGAAAAGAAAATCGAGCGATACTCAGCAGTACTTACCGTTTGCCACGAAAATGCGATCCGTCACGATGATATTCGCACGTGACTCGTAACGTGACACGATCGGGGATCGCGACTCTCCGGCCGTTTGAACTAGCGTGCCTGTTGACGTCGCACAGGTCTTGTCCCGGCATGTGTCCACGAGATCGAATCTCGAATTTTCGACAGCGATGTTCCCCCCAGAAAGCGGGATCTCCTGCGCATGTGTCACCTCTACCTGACATACAAGAGAGAACTCGAGAGATTGGAAAACGTTCTATCAGGGGTCTTATTTTCAAAAAAATATTGCATACGAACGAAACTCCAAGGGTAGTTTCCCCTGGTAACAATTTTTCTTAAAATTTTTCAGAATTTTTATTTTTATTTCAGAATTTTTTCACAATTTTCGAATTTTGTAATTTACTAAAAAATTTAGCGGATTTTTTAATGCAAATTGGAGCACTTTTCAGAAGTGTCGAGCAAATCTATGACTTTTCTAAAATCTTTTTTTCATATATGAATTTTCTCTGAAATATCTAAGATTTTAAAGATTTTTCATTCTATTTTGATAAAATCTTATAGTCTAAAAAAAGTTTAAGGTATTTTTTTGGAGAGTATAGAATAAGAAATCTTAGAATATATATTTCAGAATTCACATATATAAAAAATTCTAAGAAAAATTTTTAAAGGCCGTCTACATAAGTTGCAAACGCAGAACGCAGATGCATTTGCGATAGCCAATGAAAAGCTGTTATTAGTACCATTGACGCTTCTGATTGACTGTCGCAAATGCATCTGCGAACTGCGTTGCGACTTATGTAGACGGCCCTTTATCAGAGACGTTATGTATATTGTAGATTTTCATATACATGTACATTTATGAATATAGGTTTGCGTGCAGCTGAACTTTTTGTATCTTTTCATCTTCTGTCAATAGGCCTGTTCTTTTTAGCTGAACTTTTGCACCAGTTTATCGGTTTTCCTTTTCTTTCCTCCTGGCGAGAAAAGGAAAAAAGATGAACTGTTGCAAAAGTTCAGCTAAAAAGAACAGGCCTCTTTTCTCGTCCAATTATAATCTATTTCTTATTTTAAATGCAAAAAGTATAACATACTGTGTGATAAATTAAAAATATTATTTAGAGATTTATTCTTTATAATTGAATCTTTTGTAATTTTCATTTTTTTTTCTTTCAATATCCAATTATACATCTATTTTATATTAAATACTAAAAAAAAATATAGGTATAGATATAACATAGTGCAGCTGCAAACGACAAATCTAAAATATTACAAAGAATAATCATAAAATCTGAATGAGTTTAGACAGAAATTTCGAATAGATAATGATAGAATTGCAATTTACTTGGGATGTTACGTGACTTCGCATAAAAATAGCTGAGTCATAATTGACAGGTCTTGGATTTGATCTTTCATCCTACATATAAATTTTGTAATTTGCATAAAGCAATCTTTGACTCTTCAAGATTAGGGTTGGACAATAAACAATGGTTGAATAGTGGATAGTTGCACAATGACTTGGTAACTCATTTCCAATTATAATTTCATAGTTAGCTAATTCTCAATGACTAAAAATAAGTTAGTTAATTTTCAGGATTGTTTGAATAATTGTTTCCTTCACCAGCAGTTGCATAATTATTATTGTCAAGCCCCTTGGACTGCATAAAAATCTTTACCAGATCTGGGTATCTAAAAACAAAATTTCTTAATAATTATAGCATCACACTTTTATAAATAAAGCTTTATTATCTTTTTATTTGTATAGAAACCCTTATTGAGGGAGGTCGAGACTTGACTTGAGCTATGGAATCATAGGATAAATTTACTTTATTTGCATATATGTAGTACATAGTATATTGCATTTTTTTACAATTTGATGGTGAAAAAAAATTAAAATTATGTACATTGCTTGTGTAAAATTTCGTAATATCAAAATCATTAAATATGAAGTAAAAAATAATATTTCATTTTATACAATAATCCTACTTTAGATAAATTATGAGGTTTTTACAAGAACGAAGGACTCTTAATTTAAAAAAACAATATTGAGAATATATAAGGTATACATAAGAGTCAAATATAACAAAAAATTATATATATATATAATATATATATGATATTAATTATATATACATGATATTTAATTAATTACAGAATTTTATATTATATATACTTCTCGTTTGAGTTTTTGTTTTAAAATTTTTCGTTATATTTGACTCTTACGTGCTTTGTATATTCTCGATATTGTTTTGTAAATTATGAGACAAGATTGTTGAATGTCTAAATGACATATGTGTCCATAAATAAACTGCTTATAAAAATTTGTATTTTGTGATGTTGCAAATGATATTTTCATAAGAATGATTTCACATAAAACACGTTTTTTCGTGAAGAAGAAATTTTACCTGAGTAAAAGATAAAAGCACATAATAACAGCATATCATATTACAGCATACACTCCGTAATTTTTTGATGCTAAAATAAGACTTGCGCTTTGATTGCAATCACGACAATATGTTGTGTGAACATATATCCATGATCATTCTGTAAAATCTTTTCCATAGCTATATTTATTTCCTGTGCCAATTTGATAATTACAATATAGAAAGAATTTTATAACTGTCATTGCATACAAGTGCCTGTAAACATTTAGTCAAAATAAAAGTCAATTTTGTTATTTTAGCTATATTAAAATTATAATTAATATTTACCTCGTACAAGGTAGATATTTATTCATAATGTTCGTGAAACCTATCATCATGACCCCAACCCTTATTCCTTTCCCTCGGCGGAGTTGTCCTCAACGAATTTGATTTTGCATTAATATTAATTCCTTTGTTTGATTTATCCAGTGCACCTGAACCGCGTATCGCTCTTGGACCGCTAGAATTTTTTGAATAATTGCCATGCTCAGGTATGTCATTTTTCACTTCTTCTCTTACAATTCGTTGATTATTCTCAATTTCTCGCAATTGATTATCTAGAACATCAAAAAATTGTCGATTTATGATATTATAGTAGCGGTAGTATTATTCACATAATATATTTTTATTTAACGATTAATAATTTAAATCACATTTTATGTTACCATTTTCAGTCTTTGTCGTTAAGACCACCTTTAATTCTTCATGAGAAAACGGAGGTTCAAAAAAGAGAGACTTGATATTTGAGACATAAAAATGTTTCAACTGCGTGTCCTTAATTTCATAGTCATTATTGGATAACTCTACGATTAATAATAATGCCGCATAGTTCTCGGGACTATGTAAATTTTCCTTTACCAGCAATTGCCTGATAGTCATTATTAAGCTCTCCAATCCACCTGGACACGCTTCATAAAGATCTTTACCAGCTCTAAGTATCTAAAAAAAAAAAAAAAAAAAAAAACGAGATTCCTTATTAACCACAATATCACGATTTTATAAATGAATATCTTCATTATTTGATTCTTATTCTTATTCGTATGTATCATTTCACATACATTCAATACTTTGTTTTTGTTTTTACCTGTATCATGATGAAATAAATATTATTTTTAGGACTGTCTTGCAGCAGATCTTCTAAATATTGAATTAACGGTTCAGCCAATATTTTCAGTCTATTTCCGTCACTCAATTTCATGTGATAAAAAACTTCTGCATGAAGTAAAATTTTATTGGCAAATGTTTTTTTATCTTCTACTCTATCTTTTTCCTTAGCTAAAAGAACAATATCAATATAGTATAATATAAAATATATATAGAACAAGAGATTAAAAATAAAAAATACCAACATATATAATTATCCTGAAGGAAACGTAAGAAGCGGCTTCGTATAGTGTTTTTATTATTATCTTCTAACCGAACAACCATGTTATCGCTGAATATCAGGGCTATTTTCGTGGTCAATGAGTGGTATATAGCCTGCTTCCAAAGAGAATCGCATACATATCTAAAATTTATGACTTTGGGTTAGAATAATTGCCAACGTGATGTAAGAAAGAAAAGTTCAGCTGCAAAGAGAGCGGACCTAAAAAGTTTACATCTTCTCTTTACTGTTTTTCATCTTTTTTTTCCAATGTCCGACCATACGAGATCTTATTCTTTTCAGCTGAACTTCTTGTATGGTTCATCTTTTCTTTGGTGCTTTCCATTTAGTGACACAAGTCGATATAAACACCTTTTTTTTCTTGACATTTTAGTAAATAATAAAGGTGGTTTTCCTTTTAGGAGACAAATGTCATTCTATTTTTGTTATTCATCCACGTTTAGTAGAATGTTTATTTTGCAACTGTTGGAAGTTTTCTTCCCTGAGATAAGATTATTCTTCTGATCTAAAAGTATAATTTAATCAGAATAAAGGAAACAGTTTCCAACAGTTGTAAAATAAATAGTTTATTAAACACAGCCAATGTGAATGTCAACATTTGTGTTGATTACAGGTGCTTTCTGTTTGATGACACAAGTAAATGCAAGTATTATTCTATCTTTGTAATTCACTGAATGTTAAGATAGTATAATGCTTATGTCGACTTGTGTCACTAATTCTTATTTTCATCAATATAGAATTAACTTTAATTTCAGTTCAATTTTCTTATTTCAAAAATTCTTTATCTTTTTCTAGTTGTAAGATAAGAATTAGAAAAAGATAAAGAATAAATTAAATCAAGTTAATCTTGTTAAAAACGAATATAAGTGGAATGCCTGCTCTGTTTCTCAAAGGGAAACTCGTAATATACCTCAGACTGTCCTCGTCGATTGCAATGGTCAACAGGTCTACGATATCCTGGATCAGCTTCGGCGAGACGCTCTCACACTCGTCATACGAAACTATCTTATCTATTATGTCCTTTAAGACCTTGTTGTTGCTGGGTATGCTTCCTCCTGGTTTACGTAGCCCCTGGTCCTTGTCCTGGTTCTGATGATTGGACCATCCACGACCGCGACCAAACGAAGTCATCGTCGGACTTAACAACTAAGCCTATTTGACACAAAAGATATATGTCAATATATATCCAGTGACTGAAAAGTAACGTGATTTAACAACTTTATTGAGAAATACAGACGTGCAGGATACAATTCGATTCGAACACTTGCTTCTCCTCTAGATTTTGAAGTTGTGTACAATGCGATCGGCAAAACCGTACGGGTCTGTTTCTTGGTGTTGCACCATTTGCACTTTCTGCACTTGCGGCGAGTTCTGCCAGTGTAGTCTATTGGTTTTTTCTTTTCATGCATCGTTTGTTTTTTCTCTTTTTTCTCTAGTATGAAAAGAAAAAGAGGAAAATGCAAATTTAGCCACCGACAAAATGATATATCTCGTCGATGATTTGGCTAAAAAGAACACACCTGTTTAACGGTTAGACGTTGTAGAGGAAAAAAGACAGTAAAATTTAAAGGGAAAATTAATAAATATTTAGGCTTTCCGCTTTCTTTACAGCTGAATATATATTTTTTTTTACCTTTTGCCTTTCCTTTCTTTTTATTTAATATCATATTTGCAATAGGCATCGCGGCGATAAAGTGTAGAAAGTGCAGACGGAACAAATGCGTCTTTCGCGAATTATCGATGCGCCGCCTGGCAATTGCCGCCAGCGACGTCGCGTTTAAATTTCTCCAATTTCGTCTGTTACGGATAAATGATATGTATAGTCACGCGATCCGGAGCTGTTTGGACGCCGATTAATTCCTGGATAGCGAAGGAAGAGAAATAGCGAGAAGTTGACAAATTTGGTTAGCATTTAACTTCTCCAAACGGACCGATATTGAGTGCTTTCCATTTGATGACACAAGTCGACACAAGTCGCCACAAGCGTCATTCTATCCTTGACATTCTGAGAGTGGCAAAGATTAAACGATACTTGTGTTGACTTGTGTCATCAAATGGAAAGCACCCATTATAAATTGCACCGTACAGAGTATTTATGTTAGATTTCTTCATCCGTAGATTGCGAATCGATCGAAGCTCGTTACGCTTCGCAATTACGCTCGCTCGAGTGAATTCGCGTGCGACAGTTGAACTCTTGAAAAGTCGAGACGGAATTGCGGAATCGTTGCCTCTTTCTTCGATCAGCGTAGCGTATCATCGTGGGTCTGACAGTTCGACAGGTGCATAGAAGCGATAATTGTGCAATTTTATATTCCTAATTATAGTATGCAATGTCTACACGATATCTACGTACGCGATAACAAACTGAGATATGAAATTAATTAATCGCTAGAAATCTGCCAGTCTACTCCGAATAATAATATTTGTGTAATTTTATTTGTTAAGGATTATTTTTGATTCTGATAACGATAAGTTAAGACAGAAAACTGACCTATAATGCTGAAATATTATCATACTTTAAGACAAGAAAAACACATGCATGATGAATTATAATAGATCAAGGAAAGCTATAGAATTTTAAAAAGGCTCCCCCCTCTATTTTCTAAAGATTGAGCAGCAGATTACTGTGATTATTCGTAAAGAAATAAAAGAAAAATTTATATCTACTTATGATAAGATAAGGCACAGAATTAGAGATCAATATCAAGAAATTAATCGAGAGAATTATTGAAATTAATTTGTATTAATAATTTACAGTTGCTAGAGATTGTTTCCTGGACAACTTGGGCTCGCGCATGCTCGCGAATGTTCGCAAATGTTACCCCGGACGACCGCCAATCGTCAAACGGTACGGTAATCCACACCACAGCAACAATCTGTCAGTCATCGTCAGTACAGCCAGTCATTGTCATCGCAGCCATCGCGTGACCCGCCCGGATGATCAACATCCCGACAGACGTCAACAACGGCAGTCGGCTCAGCAGTCGCTCGTGGTTTGCATTGTGGTTAGGCCAGTCCGCTGCTTCTCTTACGAAGGACGAGTCTCGCAGTAGTCGCCAGTCGTCGAGCAGGTACACTACGCTCGTGCTGCGTCGATCGGTCTCGGAGTGTTTTTCTTCCCGTTCCTTTTTATTGTCAGAAGGTATATCACAACCGACGTAGCCAAGGGAGCCACGTCGCGTTCCAAAAAAAGGATAGGATATAAGAGGGAAAGAGAAATAAGATAGAAGGACACCGCTGCTCGTCCGTCCAGGAAACATGACGACGGAGGAGAAGTTCAACGCCGCTGTGAATGTGATTAGGAGTCTGCCGAAAAACGGTACGATAATCTTACACCCACGTTATCGTCGCGTTGGCACGGCGAATCTTGGAGCGTCTTGAAAACGCGGATGCGTATCTTGAAAGTAAATTTTTCCTTTGCGTGCATACACTTCGAAATATTTTACCTCTTACACACTCGCATCCGCTGTTGCGTTCGCCTGAGAACGCGGCAGATATCACAGTGTAATCGCTTTTTGCTTTCCACGCTTGTTGATTTCTTTCCCTTTCTCGCCTCTCTTCCTTCATACAACTTTACTGCGTGCTGGCTAAAGTCCACGTCGCCGCCGATATTTATCTTCTTCGTGCGAGAACGGCTCATTTACTTGTTCATGATTACGAGAAGCCGATACGTAATTAGTTTTTTCCGCATATTTAGGAGCGTCGAAAAAACCAACTGCAAGATTATTACATATATATATATATATTTCTTGGATATTTTATATAAATTTCTTTAACGTGAAAACATTGGAGCAATGACAGTAAAAATCACACGACATGGGTCTTTAAACTTCTAGTCTTTTTCATTATCGCAGGTGATTTTATTATATGGAAAAAAAAAACACGAAGATTTTACATGCGTCGTTACGCGCTACCATGCGGAGAAATTGGCAAGATCTATAATGATGTCCGAGGAAAGTGAATGTTCTCAAGTCAATTATTTATTCGCGGTGTCGAGAGTGATATTAGGACAAAAAATTCCATTTCCCGAATGCTCGCGCACTGTACAGAAGAAGCCTCCATGCCGTCGTATTGTCCTATTGGACGACACACATTTTGATAGTCTCTGCGTTGTGACGCGAATGGCCTTTACATTTGATAATTATGCCAAAAAAAGAGACAAGGTTACTGATTTGCATTCCCTATTGCCTATTATTATTCAATCTTTTGAAAAAAACGACAGTTTGCTCTTTGCAAACGAATTAAATAATAAGCAATGAATAGAAATCTTGTTTACAAGAATATGGCTATTTTTCTATAAAAGATTTCTTATTAAGAGCTTGTTTTTTAAATCAAGATGCTTGTTATTTTCGTTATCATATTAACGCTGATTTTGTATCATATCTGTATACATAATGTGCATATACATAATGTATTTTTGTTACTATTTAGCCTTGATGTTGGATATTGTACGTTCAAGTATACTATACTTTCCAGTCACTTCATATAGCTAAGTGACTGTATTACTCCCCACAGTCCCCACTTTACTTTCTAACAGTGTAAGACACGCTTAGTGGTTAAAACTAGAATGTTCCTCTTCACTGATCACAAAAAAAATAACTTGTATTGCACCAGCAGTTATGAAATTTTGTTAATAAGAGCTTATTATTTAACGCTAATTATTTATTTCCAGGTCACTGGCAATATATAAAATATAAAGTTAAAACTTGTTTTTGTACGTAATCTCTTGATAATCAATTTCTGTATTCTTGTACTATGAACTTGCTTATTGACAAAAAACATAGGCATAATTGCAGTGCAACGGTGAAGTATAAAGTACATCATGCATAATACAAAAAATACGAACTTCATATAAATATATGCATTCGAATTTTAATGAAGATACCTTAATGAGATATTACCAACTAAGATAATGAGCTTTCACAATAATTGCTGTGACAGTTATTTCCTATTAACATTAATTTCGAAGATCATGAATTCAATTAGAAATACAATTAGAATGTTTTCACTATGTCTAATATTTATTACTATCGAATAAAACTTACATATTTTGAAGTAAATATATATATATATATGTGTGTGTGTGTGTGTGTGTATATATATATATTATATACGAAGAATTAAATTTTTGTGTTTCGATAATTGCGCTGTGCTTTATTATTTATTTAATTATTTCAATATTGTGTGTGAGAGCTTTTACAATTTTTTTTTTTATTGTTATTAATTAATTTACTATTATTTAGTATACCAATATAAATATCCTAATATTTAATATAGGATCTTTTAAAACTATGTAAAAACAGTAGAACTTAGTTTATCCAAACATATCAGGGAGATAAAATAGTTCTGATAACCAAATACACTAAACTTTGAGTATGTCAAGCTTTTATTTTTCGAATTATGACTACATAGTTCGGATAATTAAGAGTTTTGCTATAAGTCTGTTCTTTTCAGCCGAACTTTCTTCTTTTTCTTTTCACATTAGAGAGAAAAACTAAAAAGAACACTAGGAAGAACCTTACGAATTCGTATATTTAGAACTTGTGTTGTGTGAGCACAAACTTGTTTCTACAAATAAAAATGAACGGAATTTTACTGCATATTATGTATACCATGTGATAATGCATAAATTATCGTATCATTCATCTATTCCATCATGTCTATATAAGAGAATACTCTTAACTCTTTGGCTAATGGGTCAAGGAGATCGCAATAAAAACATCTCCATTTAATGAGATATAATAATGATGTTTTTATTTCTATCTCCATTTAATGCTTGGTTAATCAGAAAAAACATTTAAATTTTAATTAAAATTATCTGTTCTTGCAGTACATATTTGCATGTTGTGATATGTTACAACATTTAATTTTGGAAGAATAACAAAATCAATGACAAATATTTTGTAATTTTAATATACAACGTTTCAGGAGCGTACCAGCCCAGCCATGAGATTATGCTGCGTTTTTATTCGTATTACAAACAAGCGACTGAAGGACCCTGCCAACAATCTAAACCCGCATTCTGGGAGGTAGTGAAGAAAGCAAAATGGGATGCATGGACACGTCTTGGCAATATGAGCCGTACAGAAGCCATGAATAATTATGTAGAAGAATTGAAGAAAGTAAATATAGATTTTGTAGATTAAAAGCTCACGCAAAATGAATGCATTAAACGAGAATCGTCATCATATTGCAGATTGTCGAGACGATGTCTTACACAGATAATGTGGCAACGTTTCTCGGCAGTTTGGATTCTTTTTATGAAAGCGTACCAGCTGAGGATTTGGAATTACTCGTAGGACCAGTACTGGAACGTATACGCTCCCAACCGGGATCACCATTGTCTGGTTCACCTTTAGGTACATTTCTTTTTAACTTTTAACAATACTTAAACTTCTTAAACAAATAACATTTTTGCAAGTCATAAAAATACTCGAGATGTAAACAGATTTTTATGAAAGTAAGTTATAAAGATATTTTATAATAGTAGTAATACCGGTATAATATGACATAATACCGGTATTTTCGAAAAATTATACTGTATACTAGTCATACTAGTATTTTCGAAAAATTATACCGGTATTATGTCATGCCAGTATTTTCGAAAAATTATATCAGTATTATGTCATACCGGACGTCATACCATCACCGGTTTATATTAATTAGAGTTTTAGTTTGATTATTACATAATATTGAAACATGCCGGTATATTACTATTTTTATATCGTTTTAATCGCTGACATATATTTTGAATCAGATACCAAGAAATAAGCTAAAGTATTTTTTTTATTTATATAAACATTTTCATCAAAAATTTGAATTGAGGATATTAAAGATATCACAGGGATTTATTAGGTCACTTAAAGAAGCGAATTTTTATCAATGTTATCATATATTATGTAATGTGATAACAGTATGTTCCAAGTTCTTTAAGCATAATATATATCGAAAAATGTTTTTTTCTTTTGTATAAAGCTATTTTCTTATTTTATTAGTGTCGAGAGAAACATCACCTCACAGAGTAATAAATGCTTCTCGGCACATAACGAGTAGTTTGGAAACCAGCCCGACTAGCAGCCGCACTGCGAGCCCGCTGCCACAGGACACTGATGGCGAAGAAGAGGAATTTATAGATACTGTTGAAGTATGACATTAACGTTTCAGATTACGTCAATTATTCTGTTTTACGAATAATTCCATTTTATTGCAGTCAGCGCCGGAGAGAGCGCAAAAAGATGCACTTAAGTCCACTATTGCTTCTCAAAAGGTACAAACTACGGCAAAAAACGGAATTGATCATTCAAGTACAGAAAATGTTATAAAAGAGAACACTGAATTAACTAATGGATATAGCAACGCTAATGGTCACGCGGAGACGATATCGGAGAACCATAGAGAGAGAAGTAGACAGAGAACGAAGAAAGATGACAATAAAGCCAATGCAGAATTTTTGAACCAAATTGCGACAACGATGCAGCATCTACAGAGAGATCTAGATCGCATAACGGCCAGAGTACGAGGTTTGGAAGGGCAAGCCCTACAAGCGCTGGCGCCTTCGACAGTACGTAACAAACTATATTATTAGCTATATCTAATTTTAACAGAAAAAATAATACCTTTCATCTCTTTGAAATAACAAAATCAGAAATAATATTTCTTGTTATTTATTTTATCTATCACGCTGATGTCAACCTTCTTTTTTTTAGGAGCACACTATTAGACGAAAGTATCTGAAATGGTGGCCGTTGCAAGAATGCCCGCCGCGTTTGTTTGTCTTACTAATTTTGTGGCCATTTGTTGCTCACTTACTGATCAACTTTATGCAGCGTTATCGCCAACGAAGACTGTGATGTCACGACTATCATTCCTACGCAGCTGAGCACACATTTCCCAGTATTTGGGTTATTAATACTGAGTTATAGTATACGTGCACACAGATTTTTTTGTTTAGTTTTATATTCTTTATAGAGACAAAGCTGTCCTAATGCAATCTACGATTACATTAGTAAACGTGAATTGTGATAAAAATGACTAGATCAATCTCTGTATATTTTTGCATATGCGGCCTGTTTCGGAAGTTGCACTTTCTCTCGCCTGTAGAGTCACCGCTGAATAATGGGTCGATTGATCACGGCGAAAGTTCGATTGAAAGACAGTTCTGCAGTTATGTTAAGTAACAGCTATATGGCTTAATATATTGTTTTTTTTACGCATTTTTATAAAACGATACAAATATTATCCTAAAACACATAAAAAGGTACACAACTTGTGTTCTTTTTTATTCATGTTTGTATTGTTTTATAATAAAGTGTCTATGATATTTTTATGTACACTACATAGATGTACAATGTTTTACCGTATATTTAAAAATATGCGAAATAATGCATAGATATATGAATTATTTTATTCCTTGTGTCTATATTTTAATGTTTATATTTTAGAAGGAAGTTCGTGACTTCCGGGACAATCTGTATAAAAATTATAAAGGTATAGTTCTATATTAATGTTTTCTAAGGTGGATTGTATGTAATATATTTAGCTGTTTAGTCGTATAGATTGTAATATATTCATACAGAGAAAGTAAATCTTTTTGTACATGCAAACGTATACAATAGTCAGTTTGCATTTTATGTGTAAATTATGTGGGTTTTTAAGAAAAAAAAAAGAAAAAACTTTTAAAGTGTATTAACTGTATTACTATCGACACTGCGACAATGATAAATATTAATTACTATTAATACGGATTATAATTCTAGTTTCAAAGGAACATTTATACGTACCAAATGAATTGCGATAAATTTTATGTACATATGTGCAACGTGAAAATATACAAATTTTTAATTATCAGCTAAAATTTGTGTTACTTATGTACATTTTTTTCTCGTTATTGACAAAATATCTTAACTAAATTCGCCTGCCATTGTTGATACAGTGAGAGTGTCCGTTCCCTTTTAGCCACATTTTTTCCATGGAGGGGAGAAAGTAGAAAAGGCACAAAGTAGAAAGTGTAGCTAAAGTGCTATTCCTCTTTATGAATAGCAAGTCATGTAGATGTATACACAAGGTGAATCAGCAAGAACACTTTCTTAGATCAAAGTTGCGAGAAAATAAACAGTATAAAACTTGAGTAACTTTTCACAGAGAACTAATGTATTAAGTATCACGTCTTCGCTTTCTCTAATTTTTTCCTATTAACGTAAGATTAATGATGTTTCGATAAAGTATATATTTCTGTATTTCTCGCATATTTTTTGCTAATGTCAAAATTAATTCAATCGTCTTGAAGTAATTTCGGACTCGAAAAGTTATGATCCAACAAGGACATATCTTTAAACTTCCAAGCTCAAATAACTTTTAAAAGCTTTGTAATTTTATTTGAAAATTTGAAAAGATGTCTCCTTGTTAAATCCCAAGTTTTCAAGTCTGAAATTATTTCAGAGCGATATACGATCGAATTCAATTTGATATCAGCAAGAAATATATAAAGAACACAAAAATATATAACTTTATCGAAAGAAACATCATGATTCAGTTTCACAATTCGTGGTTCAACTCTTTGACCGGTTCAACCAGGTTCAACTTATTTCTTATCTTTTTTCAATTCTAGAATTGGAAAAAGATAAGAAATAGTTGAATCGGTTAAATAAAAAAATCGCGAATTATGAAACTGAGCTTAAGCTTATGTTGTGTTAGGGATCCGCGCAATAAAAAAAACAGGGAACAGAGAACAGAGAATAAGAATTTCAACCTATCAGAAATCATTTCTTGTATTAATATATGCAGTTTTTTTATTAGAATTATTTCATTTACATCAATATGCATCAGAATGTAAAAAATGTCCGAAAAAATTAGGATCTAACGAGAAGATATCTTCAAATTCTCTCATACCCATTTCCACCAATGTAGATTAACTTTAATCTCGGTTCAATTTATTCTTCTTTTTCTAGTTCTAAAGTTGAACCGAGATTAAAGAGTTAATCTACATTGGTGGAAACGGAAATTGTTTACAATACTTGTCTCTTTAAATTTATCAAAGCTATATATTCCCAGATAACATTTGTGCTGCATAAGATATTTATAAGACGTCTTTTAGATAATTTATGCAACATGCATGTTATCTGGATTATTTGCATTCTGACGCTGTCATGTGTCAGAATGTTAAAAGGAGTCATCTAAGTTAGGTTTATAGATCTTTTCCTTCAAATTTAGAAGAGGAAGTTTGCAAGTTTTATGTTCGACGAATAATTATTGATGATTCATGCACGCTATATATGTGTCCAATGTCAAGTACCAAGGGAACTGTACTTCGTGAAGATCAGAATGCACCTCGCACTTCCCGTTGCAAGAACCCGCTGTGCAACCGGCGGAGCAACTTGCTGCATGGCTCGTTTACAATGTTTACATAATGGGACTCCCCTACACTCCTCTATTTTGGAACAGCTGTTTCCTTGTCAACTGCACTTCTCTCGTCTCTACCCCTTTACCCGTTGTACTTGACCACGTGACCGTGCACAACGGAGAATGGAAAAAGTGAAGGGGTGACAAAGAAGGAGGGGGGAGAGACGCCACGTACTTCTATCCATACTAGGCCTTCAGAATATAAAGGAGAGGGAGGGAGAGAGAAAGAGAGAGGGGAGAGAGGGGGGGGGAGGGGACGTTGGAGCGGAGAGGAAGCAGAAGATTCGCAGGATGGTAGGAGATCTCAGGTGGGGGACAACCCGACGGTCCCGGCAATGGGATCCTTCTGTGCCCGAATGTGTGTGAAGTTGTGCGCACATTGTGGACATATGTATGTACATACAGCTGTTCGGTATCTTCACCACACGTCGAAAATGTGTTCGCGGTGTGCGAACGTTCGTAGATTTTAGCTGACCACGCTCCGATTCATCCGTCACGTGCGATCGACACGTGCAGCCGCGCCGTTCGCTCGCGAAGTTCAACGCCGAGCCGAAGTCTCCACGCGGCATAGACACCGGAATGTTGCTTCTCGTGCTCGCGAGCGTCCTCACCACCAGCTGCTCCGGCGCCGGCGACCTCGACCTAGGCACGATCGTCTTCGCGAACGTCGTAAGTGAATTTAGATCACGCCTTTTCACCTTTTCGATTGGCGTTAACGCTGCCGTTGTCCTTGTTTGGAGCTCGTTCTTATTGGTTTCTTTTTATTTTGGCCATTTAATTTGGCATGTTACGTCATTCAGTTTCAGTTTAGGATTGTGTTTCGAAACCGATAAATAATATTGGCATACAATTCACTTTGGATGAACTGAAAATTGTAAAAATTCATACAAAAATGTTATTAGGCGTCTAGATCTATCTTGATCTAACATAGCCTTTTCGCTTATTGTGTTGAATATTTCTCGATCGATTTTTATTTAATATTGTGTCTTTTTATTGTTTTATATCAAGTTTCATATCTTTATTATGCAATATTGTTTTCTGTCGTAGAGCTCAATGTTTTTATTATTTCAATATGTAATTATAGGTGCCTTTCAAAAAGCAACTCAATACAACACAGTGATCATCTTATCTTTGCTTAATATTGGTAAACAAGGATAATGATACACTGTGTCACACCATGTCATGTGTATCTTGTTGAAAGACACTCTATATATCTTTAGTTTTATGTCATTTGTAAAATATGCAAAATATTAGAGACGTTTTTATTTTTGTCTTGACGTCTGGTGACTCATAAACTTATTGCGAAAACATGATAGCGCTCGTTTTTGCTTACAGTTGTACAGACATGGAGATAGAACTCCTATTGCACCTTACAAGAACGATCCTTATAAGAATGAATCATTGTGGCCGGTTCCATTTGGACAATTAACAAATGTAAGATAATTATAATTAAATGTATACATAAATAGTTATATGCATCGGGAACAGTTTTTATTTGAAACATAATAGATATTGTTCCTGATCTTATTGTTATCTTATCTTATCATACATAAACATATCTTTTGAAATGCAATACTGTGGAGTTTACCCTGCCAAGTGGCCAGTCTGGCTATTTGGCATTCTATATAAAGAAAGCAAAGAAAATAGATTATACAATGAATCAAGTTTTAAATAGATTTAGGCATAGTAAACATGAGAAAAAATTTTCACTGATATAAAAATATTAGGATATATTAAACTAATTTTAAGAATTACTTTTCTTGCTGTATATTGATTTCTAAAAGCTTGCGCATTAACTTTACTAATGTTTAACGCTTGAAAAATATAGATTGGGAAACATCAACACCTACTTCTCGGACGCTGGCTAAGGAAACGATACTCCGGTTTTTTAAGCGATATTTACACACCATATGACATTTATATTCAAAGTACAGACGTAGATCGTACCCTGATGTCAGCCGAGGTCAATCTCGCAGGTCTTTATTCGCCAGTAAAGAACGAAATATGGGACAACAACATCTATTGGATACCGATTCCTGTACATACCGTACCGGCACAGGAAGACTACGTGCTGAAGGCGAGCAAGTATTGCCCGCGATACAAATATGAGCTGGAGAAGCTCTTAACATCGCCGGAAATGGAAAATATAAAAAAAGCAAACGCGAAGCTCTTTGCCTACTTAACTGAGCACAGCGGGGAAAATATAAATTCGATTGGAGCAGTTGAACATCTATATGATAATTTATATATTGAGGTACATTGAGATGTTCTATGTTATCAATTGTGTATACTATTACATATCATAACTTGCTCATTTGCTTAGGAAAACATGCGATAAAACTAGCTTTGATTTATTTACAGACATTGTACAACAAAACTCTACCGCAGTGGACGAAATCGGTGTTTCCAGAGGAGTTGAAACCTCTCGCTATATTTAGCTTCATGATACAGGCTTATAATAAGATACTTCAAAGATTAAAAGCAGGTATAATCTGTGTAACTATCATTTATTAATAATGTACTTATATTCGTATTTATATATTTTATTATGTTAACATTTTTTATGTGAAATATTTTTGATATTTTAATACATTAATATTTGTTACGCTTTCAAAAATATTTATTATATCTTCTCCATTATATAGTCAATATTCAATTTTAAAAACGTTAGGTCCTCTACTTGGAGAAATGATAGATCACATGGTCAAGAAAGCACAACATACCTTACAACCTGATAGAAAGATATGGATGTACAGTGCTCATGATGAGACCATAGGAAATTTACTTATGACTTTGAACGTATTTGACTCTCATCCTCCACCTTACGCTGCTGTGGTTCTTATCGAATTAAGGACAAACTCAAAAAATCAGTATTTTGTGACAGTAAGAATTTTGTTTAATTCATACGCAAAATACTTCATTCAATTTTTTTACTTTAATATTTATCCTTTCTTTATCATTAGATTTCTTATAAAAATACGACGAAGGAACCAATTCTTATGGCATTACCGGGCTGCAATAGGTTATGCCCTTTGAATGAATTTATTAGTTTGACGAAGGACGTTGTACCTGAGGATTGGGAAAGAGAATGTCAAATAAGTCGAAATGAGATAAGTTCTAGCGATGTCATCGGTAATTATCGGATTTAACATATCACATTAAAAAAATATTTATACAATTTTTTTAACATTGTGCAGTATTTACATGTATACACAACGTCATTTAATAATTTTGCATGTAATTGTTTAGAGTGCTCATTTCAAGTTTTAATTAGCAATTTTTATTTATGTTTCAGCAATTCTGACATCGTCCATATTAATGCTAGTTTTATTGGTCCTAATAATAATCGGCTTTATATATTGGCGACATAAAAAAGAACATAGACAGTATTATTTTCGCTTAGCATACAATGGCTATAACGATGCCATATAACGAGTATTTGACAAAAATAATTGATATAGTGAAAACTGATATGGTATTAAAGAGTATAGGTTAATCATTTGTTATTAACGCCATAATAAAATTAAGCGTATTTTTATATATATAAAATATATATATATTTGCTTAAATTGTAAATAATTTTTATCTATATATTTTAAAGGAGCTCTTTTATAATGAATGACATGATTTGTTAATTAATCCTCTTTCACTTATCGTGAGGATACTTTTTACTGTTTTAAACAGGAACTATATTTCCTTGTCAATCGTTATATATATACGTATTATTTCATATGTATAATTTATTATATATATACAATTGCATCATCAATATTATGATATACTATTATTACCTATATTATAAGCATAATATTTCAAATTTTAGCTCATTTTCAAGAAAAGATTTTGAAAAGATGTATTTTTATCTATGTAGAAATCACAGCATTTCTTCGGAAATTTTGATTTGCTCATTCTTAGATAATAACTTATTTGAAATTGAGCAAGATCAAAGTCCGATCATCGTGATAATAACAATTTATAATATACGTCACTATCTTAAGAAACAGTAAATTCAAATAGACAAATCAATATCGAAAAATTTTATAAAATTATTTTATTTTATGACACTATCAAAAAAAAAACAAGTAATCAGGTACTTTTATAAAACATACGTATATATATATATATATATTGCTATTTATAATAACGCCTTAAATTATCAAACTTGAAAATGCATATACATCTTGTATAATAAATGTTCAATGTGATTAATCCGGCATACATGAAATATACAATGAACAAATTTTGCAACAAAATTTTTATGAGAAACAAGAACTTTTACTTCATAGAATAGCTACACAATTACAACTACTGTTACAATTGTTTGTTACATGTGATATTGCAGTGATTGTCTAGTCATGATGTATCGAGGTTGAACTTTTTGCGAGCTTCGTGCAATATGACATAATAATTTTTAAAAGAGAAGTACATAGCTAATGCAGAGCACTGCCCGTAAACAAATTTTATTTACAGAAATTCAGTCATCTTATTGTCAGTGATCGTACAGGTAGCAATGATTGTTCAAATTATCACGTAGTATGTTTGTATAGATGTATCTTTTTCTGATCTTTATATATGTATAATGTTAATTGGAATTTTACGAATTGCGATTATACAATTACGGGCTACAAGTTAAAATATGCGAAACGTGTTCCTGTTTTAAAATTGACCACCTTATTAACTTAGTGCGCGTCTCGACTTATTTAGTACTTATAAATAAGAGAAAATACATAATGTGCGTATCTCATTAAGAATTTTTCTGAATATTTTTGTGATATTTTAAACAATAGTGTGATATGTAATCGGCGAAAAAACTTTTATCACATTTGCTGCTATTGAAAAAATTGCGGACATTATTTTATATGCAGATTAATAAAAATTAATTCATTCGAAATAGTATTTACATTCTTTTGCATATCATGTACAACTAGATAATTATGCATGAAGAAGTTAATACAAAATTTACTTCAATACAACATAATTTTTATATGTGTATATGTACATAAACATATACAAATATATAATTTACAAAGCAAATGTAAATACATATTACAAGTGTGTCAACATTTTTTGAAAGATATATCGTCATATACATATATAAAATACTTATTGAGTTATTAAATATATTGATTACTAAATATGTAATATTGTCAATATACATATATACTTTGTTTAAGAGATTTATTATTTTTCGCGCATAGGAGGTGGTATAAAGCAGATAAAGTGGAGATGTATCCTGTATTGTATTATACTCGTGTATTGTAAATAATCTCGAAACATGTCCATTTTGCTCACTATGCCGCCTCTATGTGCGAAAGCTGTAAATTTCTCATTGAACAAAGTATAGTTGTCTTATCAATATTAATACGAATTAATTTTAATAATTCTATCATGTAATGAAAAAATTATATTCAAAATTTATGATGTTAACGAATTTTTAACGATGGAATGAGTGCGATGCATCAAGCACTAAACATTACCTCTTATTTAATTGTACAATTGAAAACAGACTCTTGTTTTTATCCTCTTCGTGGCACACACTGTTTACTACATATCCTATGCTGATATATTTGTCAAGACATTACCATTCTGATATAGATGAAAAACTACCACTTTCTTGAATAGTAAACGCTGGATTTGTTCTGTAATATTTAAGATTTAAGATATTTCAAGATGTTGCTCGCATTTTGAAATAGATCTAACAATAAATCGAATCGAGGCAACGGCTGAATTCCGACGTAGCATTCTTACCTTTGTTATGATATTTCAGCCTTGAATGAATTCATTTTCAGACTTTTGTTTGTTAGAAATGTGCATGCAATGAAAATAGTTTTGGTTAATTGTGCTCGTTATACATAAATTTAATTTTAGAAACAAGAAACGAATAAAGAAACAAAAAGGACTGACAGTAGTGGAAGGATAGGAGCATCAACATTACGTAATATATCATTTAACAACGGCAAAGCAAACTTGATGGTAAAAGCACCATTATTTGTTATAAAAATATATCTTTCAGTAATCATACACGTACCATGGGGCTTTATGCTGACATCACGAGAGATGATATAAGCACCTTTCCAATGCAACATTGTTTTCATGTGTTTATGTAATACATAATAATAGGTCGCATATTCTCTCACACATTCAACTGCATTACTCCAACTAAGCGTTTAACGAGGTTTCCGACGTATTGTGAAAACTATGAATGAATAGAACTCTGTCTGTATCATGAGCATGTACAAAAGTAGTCTATGATATTTTTTGTAATGTACAGTTCTCTCTGCTTAAAGATCATTTATACAGATTTGACACACAATACTAAATAATAATCATAGAATAAATTAACGAATTAATTAAAAGATAAATAAGCTTATATTCAAGAGAGTATTTATGAGTACACATAGTGTAACATAAAAATAAAAATATTAATATTGTATACTTAAAATTTTAAAGCACACATGCAATGATTAGAACTAATTTTTTAACAAAAATAGTTAATAAACATAATTAATTAGAATAATAATCAATATATAATTTCTAATAGAAGTCTCCCGAAAAATAATACGATAAAAATACCTTATAGTAGAAGCACTTGACACACTAAGTCGTAATTTATTTGTCTAGTTAGACGCGTATGAGTATTCAAATGCGTTCTATTATTAGTAGATAACAGGAAGCCAATTATCTTTTTACAGATCAGATGCAGAAAGTATAATGAGTCACGAGTCGATTTATTCTTTAGCAACCATTTATCTTAATTCAGCACAAAAAACTACATCGTGAAGCAAATTTTGTATTCCCAATCATTTCTCCGTTTTCACCATATTTTTTTCTCCAATTGTAAATCTCGGAAAGATATACGATCATCTGCTACAACAACGACACAATGCAAAAATTATACTTTTATCTTCTATTATATATTTTTAGTTTTTGTTATTACACCAAAATTGCATCTTAAAATTATTATTACAAAATTCTAATCCCTGATGATTCAACATATTCAAACTTATTTTCTGGAAAACATTATTTTTCAGAGAGAGATGTGTCGTTGTTATAAGAAATGAACATAAGTATATTCAAGCAGTCCATAAATGCACTTAATTTATCTTTAAACACTTCTGTTTTAACTAAAAGCGAGTTGAGAGATATACTTCATGTATCTGTTATAATTGCGCTTGATATACGATCGCATTTTCGTAACAACAAATTTAACGCGGACGCCACAATACATAAATGCATTTTACTCACTATTTGCAGAATACATCTCGAGCTTCATAAAAAATTTTTATTATACAATTCATATGAAAGCACACAATACAAAAGGAGGCATATATAAAACCACAAACCACCAAATAGTTTTACATCAATTAATCTCACAAAATTAATCTCGATTGTATCAAATATTTTGTATATAATAATCCATGCAAAAGTACAATTCTAGCTTTTTTATGTTAAATGTTAAAACATTTCGCCACAAAGATAGATACGTGATTAATGCTTGGCGAAATTATGTATTTACTGGATTTAGTCACAACTGTGATAAATGATTGTAGCCAAAACTCTTACCTGGCATAAACTGCAGGATTTGATATTCCAAGTGTCGGGCTTACGGGCGTACCAATATATTTTGTAACCAACTAAAATGAAAAAATAATAAATTAAATAATGACTTAACGATTGTGTTTTATAAAAAATGAAACGTATTATATTAAATATAACTATCAAATTATTGAGAAAAATTATGGCTAAGACATAATTTAAAGTCCAAACAAATAGCATTCGCACGCAATAAAAACAAGCAAAAATATACATACCCAATTATTACCGAGGGAAGTAGCACCCATGCTCACAGCCATGTGGATGGCCAAGTAAGCGCAGAAAATAAGATACAAAATCGCATATATACACATGACTAAATATATAGCCCAATGATGAGGCAGGTCTTCTTGAACAGTTTGTACCACGAAGTATATATTTATCGTTATTACTAGGACCGACAAAGCAGTCGCTACGATTTTATTCGCTCTGCAATACAGATAATACAACGCGGACGTAAAGAAGAAAGACAACTTTCAACATGTTAAAAAAGTATTGAAAATCAAAGATAAAACTACGTACATTCCGTTTCGAAATTCACCCATAATTTGAGCACTGCTTGTGAAAGCAATTGTCGGTAAGGTGGCAAAAGGTAACTGTAGACTCATTATAGCGTTTAAAATGTCGTTCATGTCGCTCAAATTATTCATGTCAGCCAAAAACGCTACCAAGAAGGTAGGTACTATGGCGATTGTTCGAGTTAACAGGACTCGCTTCCATCGTGCCCACTGTAGATTTAAGAATCCTTCCATCGCGAATTGACCGGCATAAGTGCCCGTCATAGTGGACGATTGACCGGCGGCCAAAATACCGACAGCCCATATGTACATTGCAACTGCGCCGAAGGAGCAACCGAGGAAGATTCCCCCCTTGTAAAGATCAGCTTCAAACGTCGCATTGTTTTGCTGTAGTTTAGAGGAAAGAATATACTTAAGATCGTTTGATTAAAAAATTGCCTAAGAAACAATAGTGCAAAAATTGCCTAAGAAACAGTAATTGCCTAAGAAACAGTATGCGGTGAAAAGATTGAAATGTAAAAGACATAAAAACGTTTACCTGAAAAGTGTTTGTACCGAAAGTATAATTATTTGCTTCGCAAACTTTATACTGTAAAATAAAACAGAAATTAATTAAACTATTTCCTCACTCGAAATCACAATTAGTTTCAATAAGTGTACTTACAACATCGTTATTCGTTTTGTTATAGAGACCATGAGCAAATACAGCTACGACAAACACGTTGATTAGAAACGAAACGAATAGTGCAATGCAGGCTTCAATGAAGTAATACATGTTGGCATCTTTGATTTTTGCAGGCTGTCTTCGATCAATGTCTCTAGACTAAAAAAATTAATAACATTATGTATACATTTATATGTAAAGTGTTTCAGGACTTTTGGGATAAATCCGGGGGATGGTAGATCTCTAAAAAAAAAAAAATAAATAAATAAAAGTTAAAGAACCTGTGTCCTCCGACGTATTTTTAAGAAGCTAGGTGTCCAGTCGCGCGTGACAATTAACAATACAATTCACGTCCTTTGATTTTCTTTTTGCAGAAAGATAAGCAAAAATGCTGCCGCGTGATTAATTGCGTATCTTATAATCGGCATAAACAAGGACGCACCTTCCTTAAAAAAGTATCGGGGAGGACATAAATTCCAAAAGTTGATCCTTTTAGTGAAATCTATCATTCTCTGAAGTTTATCTTAGAAATCCTAAAACACCCTGTACATTGAGAAATCAGTCGCGCTATTGTGTTTATTATTCTTACTTTAACTAAAGCACTGTGAAGGTACAAATTATGCGGCATAATGACTGCGCCGACAATTCCTACAGCTTGGAGCAATACTTTGTTATCGTAATTCATTCCATTGTACCATGGAACAAACATACCTCTTATAACGTCTATTTGAGAAGGCGCGGCAACTATGTACTGCAATATTGAAAGCCATTGTTGAAATTCATATGAACGATACGGTCGAGATATTTTGAAATTCGTCTACCTCGTAACCAAAGGTAACTGCCATGATCGAGATGAGAAAACCGAAGAAAAACTCCAATTTCCTCAATCCGTATTTGTCCAAGAATAAAAATGTAAATGTGTCAATTACTGTGATAAGAACGCCACCCCATATAGGAATCCTGAAATGTAACTTTCCTTATCACAAATCTTTTGTATATTTATGTGCGTTATTTGATTATAAATTAATTCACAGTAAAAGAAAAAAAGAAATAAAGATAATCAAAGAAAGATAATATAATGCATGAAAAGAATAAAATGTTGTTTAATAATATTTGTAACCTAAGTAAACATAATCCGTAAATGTACATACGTATATCACGTGGATTATAATTTGTTCTTCTATAGTATGTAAAATATTTTTATAACATTTTTTATTCCCTATATATTTTGTATTTAACTAGAATGGTGTTCAGGTTTTCAAGTAGAGATTCAATGTCTCCACTGAAGAAGTTAATAAGTTAATTGGCGAACTACGATTTTAAATGTTTGAGATATTCCGAAGATTGTTTTGTATGCAGTTACGTGTATAAATATTTAGCAATCGTATCAGGCACTTACGCTGTATTAGATAAGAGGTAAAGGGCAATAGCCGTTCCTATTACTTCTTGCATATCACTACCAATAATTGCTATTTCAATCATTAACCATAAAATAAGTCTAGGTACTTTTTTGTATTGTCTGAAACACATCTCTGCCAAATGTAGACCGGTTACTACGCCGAGACGCGCGCTGAGTCTTTGCATAACGAGACCTAGGATAGTAGCGCTTAGTAGTACCCATAATAACTGAAAGCGAAGACGTCAACAAGGAATATCATTATCAAAAAAAAAGATAATCGAAAATTAGCATGATAGTAAAGTAAATAAAACTGATTGCAGCAACATTTGTTTAATTCCGGCAGGTGTACCTTGTATCTTGCTACCACTCCAGATTGTAGATCCGATTCTATGTTGCCAGGATCCAAATAAGCTATGGACATTAAGAAGCCAGGTCCCGTGAAAGCCCATAGTTTTCTAAAGCTAAACCCCGTCTGCAAACAAGAATTACAGGCCATTGAGAGATTAATTTTGAACGCACTAGTGCATATTGATGTGTATTAAAGTTGTACATTAATTTGATTTAATCTGATAAAAGTGAAGTACAAATACTTTGATTATATAAAATACAATATTTTATCAAACAGTACAATAAAGTGTAAGACCGTGAAACTGTAAATATAGGAGACAGGAGTGAGATGATAAGATAATATAACATAGAAAGAGTATAGGACAATAAAAATACCTAATGTATAATTAAAGTAAAGCTTGATGTGCAATTAAAAAGCACAGATAATAGGAACAGAGAATAACAGATTTCAACCTATCATAAACAGTGTATTCTAACATACATTGTTTCTGATAAGTTGAAATTTATTTTTTTTATTCCCTATTTTTATATTGTCTCTGCTGTTTAAATGTGTCTCGGGCTTAAAAGTATGAATGTGATACAGTAAGAATGTGTTAGTCAATCATTTAGAAACTTAAATATTATCCATCTTGCCCTTTCTTATACGATTTTTTGCGAATTCGGTTAGACGCATTAGTGAGGGTCTCGCGGTTTATTCCATTTTTATATTTATATTAAACACGCATTTTTATGTCAATTTTTGTACAATTGTTTTAATGTACACTGAGTGCATCCAATGAATTTGTCAAAAGTTATGAAGGTAAAAGCAACGACAATATTAAATTTTTAAATGACTACGATGATAATACCCTGTTAAAAATAAAATGTTTTTAAATTATAATTTAAAGACGTATAGTGGACTTTCTGAGACATGCAAAAATGTTAAAATTAAAAATGTTATTAAATAAAATTATGTTAACATTAACATAAAAAGAAAATGTTGATTTTAACATTTTTACGTCTTAGAAAGTCCACTATACGTCTTTAAGTTAGAATTAACATTTTATTTTTAACAGTGTAAATTTCGAAGTGCTTGACCTGCACATTCTTACTGTCTCGTAATTGTCTCATTCTTATCGTCTCACTTTCCTATCTTGTATACTTATACATTCTCACCTTCTTACTATCTTACTCAACAACTATATATTATATATACATAAGGTACAAAGATCAACTTACATTCCCTGTTTCTGGCACCTGAACCCTCTCATCGGCGAAATAGGTTTGATCGTAGCTGGGAGATAGGGAAGTGTTCTCGTTAGGCTTTCCAACCTCTGACTCGTGCATACGCTGATGCGGCACTGTCGTGACATCGTCACTAGATTTCACGTCGTAACTACTGTGCATAGTATATTAATACAACACTCTAAAAAGAAGGACACTTATGGAATATGAACTTTCCGTTCACCGCATGCAAAGTTAGATGTCCGAGTGAATGAAATTGAGCGAAAGTGGACTATGATCCTGATAAAATATACAGATCTGAAAGAAGAAAAAGGAGAAAATGTTAGATAATCGTCGGCGACGTACGGAACTATTTTAATGGAGCAACGGCGAGCTCTTCTTCGCGTTATAACGAACAAAGAAAAAACACAGGAACTGGTAAATCTCTAGTGGATCTCTGGATCGTTGTGCTGAATGTCGATGACCTGCCTGGGACAAGACAAAGTATTTCTTCGGAGTACTTCGATCCACTTTGAAAAAATGGAACACGCGAGTCAACGAGATTGCGAGCAGCCAAAGATCACGTCCGGAGCGATGTCATCAATCAAACGCGAACCGCGAAAAATCGCCAACAGTCACAGCACTCTCACAACAGTCATCACTCACTACCTGAGTACCCAGCTCACAGCTGTTGACTGCAGCAGTGGAGACTGGAGCAGTGCAACGAATCGGTCGAACGCTATGAACTTGGCCGCGTAATGTGGCAGGTTGGAAATCTTGGAGTGGGGGACGCTGCCAGGGACGTAAGCAAAATCTCGGAGCCAAGATCATTGACAAACAATTTGTTTGTCAATTTTATTGACAAATCTATTTTTTAATAATTGAATTTTTTTAATAACATGCACTCCTTATACTTAAAGAGAAATAAGTATACGTTGGATATCTGGCAAAAGGAAAATTTTAGTGCAGCTCAGTGCAGCAATAAAAAAGCTTGACAAATTGTTAATCGCCGATTAAGTTAAATTGGAGTGAAATCAAAAGAGTGACTTTGAAAAGTAACTTCAACAGATTGATTTAAACAACAGCAATCTTATCAAGGAATAGATATAATATCTAGATAAATTAATTTTTATAAATATATGGGGAAAAAGACGAGTCTCAGGATCGACTCCCCTATAAGGGATTATATATAATTACAAATTTCTTATAGAAATATAATTCTATTTCAGTTGAACTAATCGTCGACTACGTTAGTTAGATTTTCAAAATTACCTTATTTTAATATGACATAAAGTTAGTTACCCAGACAGCACACAATATTCATCTACAAAATATTTACAAAATATTTAGAAATATTTATAAGATTGATTTTAAATATTTTTTGTAAATATTTTTGTGGTTTTAGATTGCACAGAGATCATAAATATTTATTATAAATATTATGAAATACTTATTCGAATAGTTATAGTAAATGCTATGAAAATACTTAATGAGACATTATAATCCAAATAAAAAATACTTATTAGAAATATTTATTTATATTTATCATAAATATTGCATAAAATATTTAGTCTATATTTTAATAATATTTCGAATAAAGCTTTATATAAAATATGTATAAAATATCTATATAAATTTTCAGAAAATGAATATTAATAAATATTTATCATAAATATTCTGTGCTGTCTGGGTATAAAAATAAAAAGTTAAAAAGTTATAATTTTTAACTTATCTTATTTAATTTTTAATGCGTTAACGTTTAACTCTAATTACAGTAATGTTGTAAAGCACGTATTGATTTTAACCTTATATTAACTTTTTCAAAGTTATTATTTTTTGTCTTAAATGTCATTTATTTTTTTTAAATTAGAAAATTAGAGAAAGTCCATAATCGCAATGAGCGCGATGTTTTCTGATGCTTACATATTTTTCTCGACTTATTAAAAAAAAAAAGAAAGAATATGGTATTTTTAATTAAGAGTATTGTTTCGTTAAATTAAAATTTTATTTTTTATAAATAACGTACAATAGTATACTACATATATTTTTTTATAATAATCTAGAGTACTGATAGTATTGTTTTAAGGGCAAAAACGTATAAAATGGATAATTTCTTCATTAACTTCAATAAATGATAAAAATTTTCACTTTTAATGTTTCCGCTTTTAAAAAAATTTACATGAGGACTAATCTTTTTATATTGAACTTCTTGCACGATTTATCGGTTCTTTTTTTTCTCTTCAACGTTAAAAGAAAAACAGGAAAGATAAATCTTACAAGAATTAATTCAACTAAAAAAAAAACAAAAGACCTTCTTATTCTTAAAACATTTGAGAATACGGTTATATTTTTAAAATATCTTTTTAATACTTATTCAATATGAAAAATGTTAAAAATATTGATTTAATATTAAAAATATTAAATAAATATTAAAAATACAATTTAATATTGTCTACTGCAGATTGAACAAACGTTCTTCTAATGGCTCTGATTGCGCTGCGTGTACATTTTAGAAAAGTCTTCGTCTGCGACAAGAGAAGCTCAAGTTCTTCGAACCACGTTATCAGCGGGCGATCAGTCATTATAAAAGACAAATATTCCGCTAACGTCAAGAAGTCTGCGTGTTTTATTCACAAAAAGAGACCGTGACACGATCCTGTGAAATCCCCGGGTTTATCGTCGGCGATGTCGTATCAAATTGCGCGGAATACGCACGAGTCACGACGTCCTTCATCCTCTTGTGTCCCTCTTCCGCCTTCTTCATCACAAAACGTCTTCCGCGCGCATATCATAATTTGCACACATTATTATTCTGGAATATTGCAAATTCCACAATTCGACGCAAATAGAATCAGCGGTTGAATCCCAGTTAACAACGTGTCCGTCTTGCTGTTGGTATGTTGCTTGCTAAGCATGCATTGTTAAGTATGTGATGCTACCAGAATTGCGGCAACTGAGTCCTCATTTGTTGGCAACTTGATGCTTTCACGATCTGATAATATTAAGTAGCAACTTGCCAGCAATTTGCCGACAACTTTAAACTCATCATCACGTCATCATCAAAATTTGTACTATTACCATCAAGTTGCCATAATAATATACAGCATCATATAATGCTGTCATATTGCCGACAATGCTCGATAAAATTGACACAGCTATCTTGCTGTTAAACTGCTGGCAATACATATACACATTGTTATCTGCATGTTGCTACAATGTCGGTATATTCAAAATCGTTGAGGACAAATCTACAGCAAGTTGCCAGCGTTATAAGCAATCACAGATTTGTGCGATTTTGCTGAGACTTTGCTATCTGAGATGTAATGTGATATATAATACGTAATACCGAACAAATACTTAATAAAACAGTTGCAAAAAAAAATTAGATTAATACGGTGATTATACTGGCATGATTTTTAGAATTATGAGATTTACAAAAACGAAATTAATTCAATCTTATGATATATTAATATCGATAACTAAAGTTAAGAAGGAATACATATATGTATAAAGTGTTTTATTATAAACTCATCAATGCTGAATTTTTTTTAAAAGAAACAAACTTAACAAGTATAATATTAAATTAAACATTTTGAATTGAACTTCGTGGATATATTGTGATCGTTTACAAAAATTATCTATAATAGAGAACCAAGGAAGGGTTTGTGTATATATATAATTTATGTATAATAATATATAGTATATATATAGATTTTATGTAACCAAAGTTGTAACGTTTATACATAAACGCACATATATTGATTTATTAGTGACCACAATTAGTTATTATTTTTTTTATTCATATTATGAGCAGAAAGAACTTGAAACATCTTTTAGAAACGCATTTTGCCTAGAAATTTTACTGCAATTAGCAGTAAAAAAAGTACTATCTTTATAAGTACTCATAAACAAAAATACTGTAATTCAAATATGAAACAAGAAAATAAAATCGAAATATTCTTCTCAAAGAGCGATATCCTTTTGAAAAATATGTGTATTTTATTCGATAATGTGAAGAGATGTTCTGTCTGACAATTGCCACGTAACTCGATATCGACATTTTAGTATTCCACGATTAGATACTGAAGAACGAGTAGATTCATTTTTATAATCTATCTCGCTGCTGGGCACCGAAACTAAAATAGTTCATAAAAATACTGAGATATGTTATCACGTAGAGTAAAAAATATAATAAAAATAATAAAAATATAATAAAGATAATTTCAATTAGAGATTACCTATCCCCATTACATAGAAACATATATAAATATTATTCGATTAATATAAAAGAATAAATTTTTAAGAAAATATATTACACTATTAGTAGTAGAGTGAATTTTTTGAAGTATAAAGTGACAGAAGATTATAATCGCAAAAAATAATTAATTGGTGTGATAATAACGCATACGTATTCACTTCATACTTCAAAAAATTCACTCTACTACTAATTCTTTTTAAGAAAATATATTGTATTATTAGTAGAGTGAATTTTTAATATATTTTCTAAAAAGAAGCATTGCATGCTTTATTTATAGTCTATACTTCTTTATTTTCGTGTAAAAAGAGAAATTAAGTTGTTATATTTATCAAGTCTAACCATCAAGTACAACACGATATATATGATTATGTACGATACATAAAACAGATAATGCGCGATAATAATGCACGACAACTTGTTATTTTTACTTTGTTAGTTATTTTCCGCGAGAAGACAAAATACGGAATGCAAATGAACGCATTTTAAAGCGTAAGCCTAGCTTTTATATAATGATTGTTGGCTTTTAAATTTAGTATAATGTCAGCAAAAGCGATTGACAGAAAGAAACGAACGATAAATATAAAAAGCACGTCAATTTTACATAAATTTTACAAATTAGCTAACAATTAGTTAATTTTCTAGAAAAATGTGCGAAGAAATTTATATCAGAAGGATTATGGAACTTATATTAATTTAAGAGAATAATTTTTTTAATGTAATGATCTCTTGACACTTCGATGAAATTCCGGTTAATTTAATCGTCAAATTAATAATAGTTATTCTGTTATCTATTACTGATAGTAACTGTTATCGAGAATTATAACTGTAGTAATATGTTATTGTTATCAAATTTGGATAAAATGGTTATTTTCATTAATTAACAATTTATAAGAGCAATAATAATATTTAAGATCCTAATCAACTTAATTGATACTTATCTAATCGTTGGCAGCTTGTTTGCTGGAAACATTGGTTATAAATGAAACGTCTAACCGGACAATTATAATTGATCGATTAAAGGGCTATTTATAATTGAGATAATTAAAAACATATTATAAAATATTTAAGTTTTTGCGATGTATATTTAAACAAATTGGAATTTTTATGAATAACGCAAATTTAAATTGTAATATATGCAATATATTGGCTGTGTTCCAAAATTCACTGTCAGTGCTGAAAATGTATACGTAATGTAAACTGTAAATTTTCAGTGCTGGCAGTGAATTTTAGAACACAGTTTGTATTATTAGTTAAATTGAATAATTGTTTACATAATTGATTACTTTGAAAAACAGCTGTAACCGTTTAGCGAAACAACCTGTTTGGTAAAAATAACTAAACTTTGGCAGAATTGCATTAACACAAGATACTTAAGGTATGTAACTCGTTATTCATAATCTTTTTAATCCTTCTGTGTATTAAAAAACAATAAATTAATAATTTTTCTCGTATTAACAGAACATTTAATAAAATACAAATGTTATCTTGACAAGATAATTGCCAATTACATTAATCAAAACCGAAATTATTCTTTAAAAACGTTTAGGATGAAAGAATTTTCTTTTATTTCATTTTATCGATTCTTAGTAATTTGCTAGACAGCTACATGCATGATTAGCGTTCGATTTTTGACTTTACGACATTGTAACAATAAGTAATAAGAAATCTCTGAATTACTATGATTCATCCCGGTAATCCCGAAAACAAGGAAATCTCGAATGAAATACTGGGAATATATCGACTGACGGAAAATAATTATATTGTATTGTATATTGTGTGTCTTGAAATAGCTTTTCTGACATTTAAACGTAATACTTTTTGTCATCTATTTCTCACTTTTTATCTCTTGCCTTTTTTTTTATTTGCAACTGTTTTATCAACAATCTTATCGTGTTTCGCACGTTTCTTCGAGTGTTTCTTGTCTCTTTTAAAGATTATCAACTTTTATCTCGAGCGACAGAAAAGGAAGATAGAAATATAAGAAGTAAAAAGGCAAAAAGCTGTAAAAAATTATGAGGAACAGGAAGCAAAGAGTAACATTATAGAGATTAGATTTTATAAAGTGTTTCCAGATATTATATCACTCATTTGCTACAATAACTTAAAATAATTTAAATTGTCAATTGTTTAATTCATCGAGAAAAAAAATAACGAAAATATAAAGACGAAAAAAGAAAATATGCTTTAAATTAAAGTACAAATTTTTATTCCTATATCATAACATCACATCAAGATTACCTTTCAAAATTAATATATATATTACAAAATTGTAATAATTCAAAACATTTAAACTCATTTCCTGGAAAACTATGTTTTTTGAGCTGTGTCAAATGATCATATATTCATACAGCTGCAAACAAAAGAAATTCCAAGATTCATCCAGGAAGTTTTTTTGAAGTTGTTTTCCTCTATAAGTTTCAAACGGAATAAAGTAAAGAGTCATAAAAGTCAAAAGTTCTACATACACGAATAATTTGTTTATTACGAAAGTATCATCATAAATATTTGTTCAGTTGCAGATAGAGTCGAAAACAATAAGACTATCGAGCGGATATTAATCATCGTTATGCCTTGACGTTGCAAGGGACCGTGGAGTTAACTCCTGTTAGTTTCTGCTCTTTAAAATCCCGACGACAATGCTCGTGAATGCGTCATCCACCTCACGCATTCTCTCCTACCCCGCCCGACCAAACTGGTCCAAACTCTCACCGGCGCGGGAGGCAGATACCGCACGTAGTCATCGCGCGTATCCGCCGTGATTCTCCGTTGTACTCTCACTGTGTGGTACTCGCGAACGTCCGGCTCATATTCGGGGAGAGTACTTGGCGAAAAAGTTCAGGAAAGTCGTGGGAGTCTGAGAAACCGTAATCAACAGCGCATTCATTCTCGCTCGCGAGACAAGACCTATCAGGCCGATTTCCAGGTCACCGAGGGTGTGGTGCGAAGATAACGCGCGACTTCCGTCACGCGTCGATAAGGGGATCCGTGAGTCGCATTCATGCCCTGATCTAGAGTGAAAGTGACTGAGCCTGAAGCAAAAAAAAAAGAGAAGATTATTCTTCTGATCTCCGTGGAGAGGATCCTCGACGAGTCAAGTACGTATATCCTTCGGTAAATCATATACCTGTCCTCGACAAAGGATAAGCGTAATTGAAGCGACAATGACAGCCCGGCGACGTTTCGTGAGTCACGAGAGTCATGTCTGTTTTTTTCCTTTCAGTCGCACCTTCTCTACTCCGGGCTTCCTCTTTCTTTAGACTAGGACAGGACCCGACAGACCACTGGATCTTCTCTCTCTCTCTCTCTCGCTCTCTCTCTCTCTCTCTCTCCCTCTCCCTCCCCCTCTCTCTCTCAAGTGTAGAAAGTGCGAACGTCGTGTTCCAAGTGCTCGTGCAGACTGGCAGGGTCGTTGCCATTACGCGACTGCTCCTGCTGTCAAAGTCAAAGCCATAGTTCGATCGAATTGGAATGGCTCCCTTTTGATTTTTACAGGCCACTTCATATCGGTAATACTGCAGGTCGTGTTTGAACCTCCTGAGACTGGTTGCTTGATCAGGTAAGATCGACGACAAAAGCAGTGTGGAGAAACATAGGAGGGTCAATTCTGTATCTTGAAACGAGCTGTGAAAATTAAAAAAATGAACAAATTTAGGTGTTGACCATGAAATTACAAATATTCTAGTACATTCACTTACTTTTGCGATTTTCACCTCGTTCCAAGATACAGAATCGATCCCCAGGTCTCGAATAAATTTAACCTGTCATTGTCGCAGAAGATCATCTAATAATTTAGATCAAAGTAGTATTGTTTTATTTGTTATTGAGTTTCTTTGTGCTATATTGTCCAAAGGTAAGGTATAGGAAGCACTCGTTTCCCTTCAACCGAAAGACACTGAAAGAAAAAGAAGGATGGCGAATCTGGGCAATTTGGAGCAGCAGATCTCGAGCCTGCAGATCGGCGATGAGGCGGCCAAGGGTGCTGCTAAGCCTGGCAAGAAGGTCGGACCCGCGGTGCCGCCGAAGCCGAAGAAGTCTCAACCTCAGGTGAATCCTAATCTTCCAAACTTAAAATCATATTTGTCTCTACTTATCATATATATTAATAAGAGTGCTTCTTTATTCGCATGCATCCCTAAACATGGATGCGAAAATGGTAACGAGATTCTTATATTCGATCAACGAGGACCATCCACGAAAATCCTAACTAACGACCTATCTGTTTTAGATACCGCAAAGTTACACCATAAAGGCCCCACCTGTGCCATCGTATAGCACGGTCCTTAACAATACTTCCAGCGACAAGACCTCGAACTTGTACATGAATGCACCCTCGCCGTACGTCCCGTTGGATATAAAGAATGACTTTTCGCAGATGACACCTGCGAACGGCAAGGAGGCGTCGAAGATTTATCAGAACAATGATAATTTGTACGCTCGTCAGCCAGAGGAGAAATTCGAGCCGAAGTACAGATACGACGAGAAGAATTATTATTCCAATATAGGGAACATGCCAGCACCTCAGGTACCTGTGGCGGACGATCGCGCGAACAGAGCGACCAGAAACGCAGTGTACAGCAACATAGAACCACCGATAGGCTCCGCATACGAGTATGTCCCATACGAAATGAATAAGGAAATTATATACAGCAACATTCAGTGGAATCCTAAAACGGAGAATACATATTGTAACGTTCCTGCACATGGGGCTGGTAAGAATCTTTCTAATAACGATTTGGCCACTTGCATTACACTTGATTAATGCATCCTAAAAGCAAATATATATGAAATTAGCAAAAGTTAAATGTAAAACAATTCAATATTAAAGAGCATGAGAAGCCAACGCAGGATATTTTACGAGAAATTATTATAAATTTGTCAATGGCAATATGCCAATTTAATTACACACGTTTCGACAATTAAATCTTGTCATCTTCAGTGTAACATTCAGATATACATTAAAAATTGACGATAATATAAATAATTATAAATTTTACGTTACTCCTAAATTAGTCAGAATTAATTAATCGCCGCTGATCGCATAGTTTTAGTGTGAAAATTAACAACATATTTTCTCCTACTTTCGTTGAATACTTGCGAAATCACTCCTAAATACGTCTTCCTTCATTCTTGATCGCATTATTTAAGTTTGAAAATTATTCTGTTCGTCTATTTTCATCAAATCAATGCGAATTCGCTTCTAATACATCTTCATTCCATTGTTGGTATAATTAATACAATAAAGTAAGTATTTCAACCACCATTCGATAAAAGTTAGTTAAACAATGGCAACAATATGCGCGATTCTTAAAAAAAAAAATTTTAGGGAGAAGGTATAATGTCAAGGATAGCAGATATTAATAAAAGATATACAGATATTAATAAAAAGAGTAGGAATCTATCAGTCGTCTCTGAACATAGAAAATAATCATGATTTTAATTGGGATGTATTGGAAATTTTAGACATAGAACCTTCATATTATAAAAGATTGTTATTGGAAATGATATACATTGGAGAGAGAGAGAGAGAGAGAGAGAGAGAGAGAAAACAGGCTTGTGGAATAAATAAACAAAGCGATACTGACAAGTTACCAACTATTTACTCTCCTATCCTTGACATTATACCTCCCCCTAAAATTTCTTCTTTTGAGAATCACATGGGCATATTGTTGCCATTGTTTAACTAACTTTTATCGAAACTGGTGGTTGAGATACGGTCATTGTTCACACATCAAATAATTTCGTATTACAATAGGACGAGAGTGATCATACACATAGGTAATTACATTCTGATTTACATATTAACAAGTATTGGAAAGAAATTTAGATTGGAATTCATATGCTGACATAGTAACTTTTTAGTTTACTTAGAATTAACTAATAATTTTATAATTTTATTTTTGACATGGAACTGAGATTGACTCACTAGAGAATAAACAAAGTTTCACAATAACTTAATTTGATTAAAATTAATTATTGAATTTGGGACTCGTATGCTTGATGACCATGATTATCTTACTTTATTGTATACTTTATTAATTATACCAACAATAGAATGATGATGTATTAGAAGCGAATTCGCATTGATTTGATGAAAATATACTGAAGATGGCAAGATTTAATTGTCGAAACGTTTGTAATTAAATTGGCATATTGCCATTAACAAATTTATAATAATTTCGCATAAAATATCCTGCATTGGCTTTTCATGCTCTTTAATATTTAATTGTTTTATTGATAAAGCTTTATTTTACTATTTTAAATGTAAAAGTTTATATAAATATTTTAATGGTTAAATGCCCAAAAATGATATTAACAAAATGCTACATTATTTAAGACAAAACACAATATACATATTTCGTTATTTTATTATCAAAATTGTATTATGCCATTGTATTTAGATACTTTATGTAAAGCAGCCTTTAATATGCACTAATACAATATAGTACGAGTGAATTCACCATAAATCTGAAAAAAGAATACCAAATGAATTCTGAGTGAATCATAGATGGAAAGAACGATTTTGCTGAAGTATTTAAAAATTTAGCTATATATAAATCTGGAAATAATTTTGTTGAATCATTAAAATAATTATACAGGACACTTAAATATAATGAGCAATGCTGCAAAAGTTGTAAATTGATAAAAAGTGTCTGAACCTCTTTAAGGAGTTGAAAATAAGATCCGGTTTTGCAGCAATCTTTTGGTAAATCAGTGAAGTATTCCGGTCTTTCTGCTTGCAGACGATTTGCCACCACCGCCGGAGCCATCAGAGTACGTTTCCTGCGTACCCGGGAATTCATTTCCACCGCCGCCCGACGAGCTGCCTCCGCCACCGAGTCCTGTTTCGTCGAGTTACAGCGAGTTGAGACGTGCTACTTACCAGACCGATTTTCCATCAGGCAACTATCCCGCTGATATCTACGGCCCGAGTTCTCAGTCTAGCTCAACGTACGAATCCATATACGAGCCGATTAATCCCAGACCACCATCGCAATTGTCATGTAACTATTCCATGTACTCCGGCTACGGATCGGCTACGTCTACTCAGCCGCAGGGCAAAGTGTCTCCCGTTAAAGAAGTGAGTCTTGAAATTCTATACTGTATGTAAAATTTATTGAAATGCTTTTAGTTTGTTAAAATGTAAGCTAAAAATACACTTCACACTTGCATGTTTAATTCGATTATTATATCTAAAGTAACTATATCCTATTGTAAATTATTTTATTTATTTGTAATAAGAGGAGAGTATAATTTAATTTAAAAAATTAGATTAATTCCAACAATTATTAATTACAATTATGAAGTAATTGAACACAACTGTAAAGTAGTATGCGTATCTGAAATTAAATGACTCATTTTATCTACAGGTCGACGTTCTTACGGATCTGTTAGTTCAAGGAATGGAGGATAATAATGAAGACAGTGACATATATGGCATCTGTGCGCAATGCGGGCGCAAAGTAGAGGGAGAAGGAACCGGATGCTCGGCGATGGATAAAGTCTTTCACATAAGTTGTTTCAGCTGCTTCGTATGCAAGGTCAATTTACAGGGGAAACCTTTTTACTCGTTGGAAGGTAAACCTTATTGCGAGGAGGATTATCTCAATACTCTGGAAAAGTGTTGCGTTTGCACCAGACCGATACTGGACCGAATATTGAGAGCTACTGGCAAACCATATCATCCCTCGTGCTTCACCTGCGTTGTCTGTGGACAAAGTCTCGATGGTATACCATTCACTGTGGATGCTACGAATCAAATACACTGTATTCAGTGTTTCCACAAGTGAGTTTATCCCAGTTTCTTTTGTTGGTTTCTTCAATTATTATTCAATTCTGGTTAACTAATTCACATTTTTGCGTTTGCAGGAAATTCGCTCCGCGTTGCTGCGTCTGTAAGCTGCCTATAATGCCCGAGCCTGGTCAGGATGAAACCATACGAGTGGTAGCACTAGATCGCAGTTTCCACATTCAATGCTATAAATGCGAAGATTGTGGATTAGTATTGTCATCCGATTCGGAGGGACATGGTTGCTATCCCCTGGACGATCACATCTTGTGTAAAAGTTGCAATGCTACCCGTGTCCAAGCCTTAACGTCTCATATGACGACCGAATTATAAATATATAGACGCGACAAGCTTATATAATTTGTTGAAACTTCGGGAATACGAATGAAATGTTAAATCAAGTATCGTTGTGATTAACTGTAGCGAAATAAGTACCGCTATATACACGGTATTATATGTCCTTTTTTATGCGTACACGATTTTTCTATTCCGCTTCTATTCACGCCTCATATATTCAAAACCGATATTTGCTATCCCATTATATTAACTTCTTCACTAAGTCGTGGATAACCTTATCCAGGAGATTGTATTCTGGAAGATATCTCTTGGATAAAGTTATCTAGACGTGAAGAAATTGGGTATAAAGAAATTATACTGTCCATATTTGGATCGTTTTTATAATCTGGCACGAAAAGAAAACAATTGTCAACGATTATTTATATTCTAATGGGGGGGTTATAACATTAATACATTAGAATTTCGCCACTGCCATGACCGAAGCATTTTTTCCGTACGTTACGAAACAATGTTGGCAAATTAATAGTAGATATAAGTTTGACGTCCGAGGTAATTTTCCTGCAGATGTGATTATCATTGTGATTCTAGTAAAGTATTCGATGTATCGTAAAGTATTTAACGTGTAGTTTATCGTCGACAGGAATACCGCTTCGATCCATTTATTTAGAGATTAGATATTAGATTCGGGAAGTAGGATTATTATTGACAATATCGATATACCGGCGAGAAAGCGTGCCATTTCTTCTTGTGAACGTATCTTAAACGGATCCTTGCAAGACTATCGAGAAAGGAAAGATAAACGCTCAATCTCAAACTTATGATGCGATTAATTCCCAAACTTTTTCGCATGGGTAAGACATTACATCGAGGAGAGACTTGTATGATCTCTGTATTATAGTATCAATAAAAATACAGTTTGTTATTTATGGCCAAAGAGTAACACTTCGTTTTTGCCGACCGTTCTTGCCCATCCGATGATTTTCACTACGCATGTAGACACTGCACTTTTAGCCTGTATTTACCGAATGACATCGGTTATGATCGAGCTTTGCATGTTTCACTATTTCAATGAAAGTTGCTATTAATATATATCGTTATATTACTATTGTGATTGTGTTAATAGTTATACACGGTGGCTCAAGCTACCGTACTTCCTTCCAGTTACAGATTTTCTCAAGAATTCGAAGTTTTTTCTTAGCAAAAAGTTCAATTGCGAGCACGCAATTTTTTTTACAATAATTTGTAATATTTAACATTACCTACATTGTTATTTTGTTAGAGCTGCTTGAAATTAAATAAAGGATGAGAGTTTCTTTGAAAATTAAAATAAAATTATTTCGAAAACTATTAAAATGTTTTTGCTATTAAAAAGCCAATTTCAAATTTACGAGAAAAACTGTAGCCAAGACGAAGTCCGCGATTATACAACCTGTAGACATATGGTGTATGTACATATACATAATTATACATACACACACCAGATGTATATATGTACACATTAATATTGTTATTATAATTGCAGAAGAAATTTACAGCAGATTCATTCTATATCATCTCTTTACTAATTTTTTTTCTCTATGATTTTCATGCACAGATGTTCGTTTTTTATTATTATTAACATCTCTTTTTAGATATTTGCATCTCTTTTTTTATATGCGTAACATATTTTTTATTACCATAGAGTACTTAAATTTATATAATTTTTGTGATATATATATTATATATAACCTGTATGCTATTTTGTATAATTTATGTTTATTAATACATAAATTTGTCTCACCGGCACACGTGAATCGTGGAACGCGTCCTTCTATGTTTCTTTTTGGAAATCAACAGTACTACCGATTCTATACTTATCTACACGGAGGTATATCAAATTATAATTCCACGATGGATACATTGTGCATCAATGTATTTGGCGACAGTGCGAATCTAGAAATAATTCAGCTCATCTAGAAATAATTCGGGTAAGCTGCAAAGCATTTGAAATTGTCGTCCACGGTAAACAAATATAACAAATACTTATTATCATCCGATGTATCCAATGTGCAAATAATCTTGTCGTCGACTCGCGGGAAATGTCTCACGTTAATAATACCTTGCATCAAGTCGCGGTATTTATTGCGGAGCAACGTGGCTCCACTGCGAGATAATAAATTAACACAGATTGTCACGAAATTCGCGCACGCTTATCAAATCTTGTCCGGCAATTTTCGCAAATGCGCGGCCGGAAACCAGGACGAAATTCCACGATCCGAAATGCACTCTTTGCTGCGTATGATACATTCGTAAATCCTATACTCTTTACTACACATAGCTCTGGTGTCTATCTTAGACTCCTCTGTTTTTCTTTTTATCCTCTTTAGATTAAAACTATAATATATTTTATGTAATATATATATTTTATCATATTTTCTTCAATCAAGTACAGCACCATTCTACGTTAAATTTAGTACAGGTTCTTAATACTCAGTTTTAATCTAACAATATTCGTTCGATTTGTTAGCTTTGTTGTACCAAAGTCAACATAGAATTGTTATATATATATATGCGTGTGTGTGTGTGTGAAATTGCGTGTGCCTGTATGAGTAGATACACGAGCTATACTGCTCACATATAAATCTGTACTTGCACGCAATAAATCACAGCCACCTATCCAAATTCGCGCGCGAGCACAAATACATACGACTAAATAACGCATATCTCTTTCGCATTTACATCCTAGATATCTTCGGTATATGTTTTATCATCTCGCTCTGACATTATATATACATATATATACATATAATTATATATATGTATATATATTACGTGTATATGTGCATATCGATACACGCGTAGATGTGTGCATATTTATATGGAAACGTATGCACTCACACTACGGATATGTACACATACACATATTGTTACACATACGAGGATGTCCTCTTTCGCGTTTTGTCTATACGTAGTACTAAGGTGCCATAATAAGCTGCATTCTCTCTCACTCTCTTTCTCTCTATTTCCTTTCCCTCTACTTGTGACACTCATTCACACGATTCGCACACTCACAACATTTTTTCATTCATTCCTCCTCTTCTCTCTCATCGACATGACGTGACATGACTCGTTTGCTATATTTTAACCGATAGCTCTCTTGTTACACAGTTACTCTCTCGTATTCGCCGGACCCGCTCTTACAGCAGCATCATCATACTTTCACACTTCCGAATTCGCTGGGGCTATAGTTGGGCGCACTAGCATCACACGTGCTCATAAATCAATAAATAAATAGAGGAACAACATTCTTCAAACATCTCTTTTTTTTTTCTTATATAACAACATTAGAGGCTCTCGGAGAACGTAACGCAACAAATGTTCAACAATACAATCACGAAAACAAATAGAAGGCACTCTTGCTTTTCTTTTTTTCTCAATAAATTAATCTCCATGTGTTATAACAACTCACTCTCAGATATTATCTCTATGCCTTCTCCTAGGCCTTGTCTGTCGCGTTCGCATTTAGCTACGTACCTATACGACGTTCGAATGTCGCTAAAATTCTTAGGTAACACGCGCCACGACAATCACATGACGGCGCTACAAATCTCATCTTTCTCTCTCTCTCTCTCTCTCTCTCTCTCTCTCTCTCTCTCTCTCTCTCTCTCTCTCTCTCTCGAACTGGACAATCATAGCTACGGTATGCGAGATACGAGATAACAAATTTGTTTCACATTTACAAGTAAAAGAAATCCACCTTCGTAACAATTAGGTGTAGAATATTATTTAACCTTTAATATTATAATAATTTAATTATTGTTATTTGCTTGGAAGCTCACAGCCGACACATTTTTTTTAATTCATTATTATTATTTCTCTCTTCTTTTAATATCTTATCTTATTTTCACTTGGGTATACGGGGCGCTCATCTTTCGTACTTGGGTCTTGGTTATTATTTTTTTCCCCTCGGTATTTAACAGCTACAACATGTACAACATTTAGCGCGGAAATTTTTCAACGAAAGGCATAACGGAATCCAGTTGTTAGTCCGCTCTATATTCGAAATACGCGGTGAAATATAGATTCACGGTTACTCTAACGAGAGAGAGAAACTATAAGTACGGATAATACCCCCGTGGTCTACGGGGAATAGAAAACGAAAAATCATGGAGATGTGGCAGTGCCTTGAGCAACCGTTTATGAAATCAACCCTATCTCGCCTCCCTATTACCCTTCTGCTTTGTTTTTCATCATCTTTTTTTTTTGTTTTTGAACACATGACAACACATCGTCTTTGTACGATAACAACGTTATTTTCTCCTTTTTTTCTTTCGGTTCTATCTTTGCTAACTAATCTAGCCTTGCTCGCGAGATTCATGGTTTGTCGAGCCTATCACGCATATAACATTGGATATATTGTAATAGATATATATATATGTATATTATATAACGTAGATATATATATATATGTAAATGACGTATCGTACGTATAATATATATCTGTGTGTATACGTGTGTTTTTGTGTGTATGCATTAAGATAGAAGTTTTATCTTTGTTAATTCTTTGCTACAGTAGAGAAAAAGGTAGTTGTATCTAGAACAATTAGTTCCTTTTTAGATTCATCTACCTTTTTCTTTCCCTCCATACATATAATTAATAATATATCGTTCTTTGCACGTACTCATGTGATAATTCTTCATTTAGATCCTACTTGACCGATCGCAGCGAACCATGATGATCGAACTGGGAAAGATTTCATTTCTACAAAATGTCTTTAGCATGTCGAGTCTGAGATCCAGAGAAATTATACCGTAGCATGTGTATATATTTATATATATGTATATATATAAATATTTATGAGTGTATATTTATGTATGTATATATGTCGCGTCTTGATTTCCGTACTGTTTTTCACAGTTTGCAGTCGTCGTCTTAGGTCGCGCGTGGTCTCTCTCGACTTTTATAAGATAAATATTTACTTTTATTACGAAGAGGGCAAAGAGAACAAAGAAAGGAGGATAGGAAGCGTCTACAGAGTCAGCGCCTGCATCTGATGGCACGTGTCGCTCAGCTGATCACCAGCTGCCGGATGGCCAGCCGTCCGCGGCGTACCGGGTGGCGTTATCGGTAACCTTCCAGGACCGTCGCCGGCGCCTCCTAGAGCATCGTCGGCGAGTTTGCCCGCCACCGCTGTGGCCGTGGTCTGCATTATACCGTTCATCTTATACTTGGACTGTCGCAGTATCGTCGTCTGCGAGCCGGTGGTGCTTGAATATTTGTCGGACGGCTTCCGGTTGGTGGACGATAGCGCCTGGCCGACGGAGTACCGGCTGCGTTGATTGCCGGCGGACTGCTGTTGTTGCTGCTGCTGTTGTGTTTGGGACAGGGGCATGGAGGATGGCTGATAACGATTCTGAGCCGGAGCATAAAACTGGACCTGGAGAGTGGGTGGGGAGAGAGTTGGAAGAGGCCGTGTCATGGGTGAGTACGGAGCTGGCGGTGGGCTCGCCGGCTTCTCCTGGGTGTTGGACGCGTCCGCGTTTATCCGCTCGGATGGAGACAGGCGAGATGACAGCGTCGTCGACGTGCTCGTGACGACGACACTGTCCGTCTGGGCCGTGTCATTGTTAGGCCGACTGTTGTCGTTTCCGTGTAAGTCCAACCGGGCGGCGCTTCCTCTGTAGTTGTTATTATTGTTACTCGAGAGGCAATTCTTACGACCCGAGCCATAACCACCGGTCATCGACGGTTTGTTGATCTCGTAATACTGATCGTCACCGCAGTGCCTCGCGCGTCCGTTCGTCGAATACGAGTAGTTGGACGTAGTGTGATTGACCTTGTGCGTAGCCTGATTCGAAGCGTAGCCGCCGCCGGACCTGAGGATCGCCGACGAGCCCACGTTCGATCCAGCCGTTCTCCTATTGTACTGTACCGGCAATCGCGACGACACCGCTATTGTCGGATATTTGTGCGACCCGTCCGCCGTGTTTCCGCTACATTTGTTGTGTGACTGTGTACCGCCGTATGTGTTCAGCGACTTGCCGTGTGTATTGTGATGTGCCAACGGATAGCCATGATTCTGACCCCCCTGGCCGCGTAAATTGTTACCCTGACCGCTCGAGTACTTATTGCAATCTCTGGAATTGTGACCGTACGTCTTCGTGTTGCTGTTGTCGTAACCGGACTGATGCGGCAAGGGTGAGAACGGTGTCGGTAGAAGACTAGCGGTACCAGACGCGTTGTGATGTGTGTATGGCGGTGGCGGGTGTGTGTGCGGAATGTATACGGTTGGATGATAGAGGATGCGACAGTGCATCGGACTGGTAGTGCAGTCCTCACTGTCGTTTTGCGCGCTGTGCGGCGTGTGTATCGTGATCGGATGGTAATTAGTGTGGTAACGACCGGACATAGGGAATTTGACGGGCATTAAGGGCAGCAGAGGTGTTGCCGGTGAGCCTGAAGCAGCCTGTTGCACTTCGCTGTGCGGTTGCTCCGAGTGGCTTGGCGTCGGACGTGAATCCTACGATTTTATTTTATAGAATAATACCTGCCTAACTCAATACATTGCCTGATAAAACGTGCATTTAATAATAAACACATTTACGGCGATTTGTTATAATTGATCTTGTAATCGAGTATGATCCTGATCTCAGTGTAATTAAATAAATCTTCATTGCGATGATAACTATCAATATTTCATTAATAATGACTACTAACGCATGCATTACTGTTTTAGAAATAAGAATAATAACTCAATGGCTAGCAGCTATATTCTTGTAGAATTTGGAAGCGGCGCCAAAACACATCGCGGAGACAGATCGCTAAACGTGCATTAATCGATTGCATTAGATAAGAGAGAAACTTACCTCTTGTGGAGCCTGACTATCAGACGCAGAGGTTTGCTGGCACGAAGTAGCGTCCGTAGCGTACAACAACAGCTGCTGCTCGGTCAGTCCCATAGATGCGTGCGGCGGCGGCGCGGGATGCGGGCCAGCCGCAAAAGGATAGTACAGATGATCCACCTGCGCCGGGGGAGGAGGGCCCGTTGGTACAGGTGGATGATGATGTGGAGCAGGCGCGGCAGGAGCGTAAAAGTGCGTTGGATGCGGTGGTGGGAGAGGTGGCGGTGGGCCCGTCGGCGGACTGGTAGCTCCTGTACCGTTATTGCCGTTGCTGCCAGAACTGTTGCCACCTCCACCACTATTCGTGTTGCTTGGCGAACTGCCAGTAGTAGCGTACAAGTACTGAGGTGCTCCGGTGGCCGCTCCTGCGTAGTACGGTTCGTACTGTAGACAGAAATGGAAAAATCTTTAGATATTCGTCATTATAAAAAGCACTTTGCACATGAATACCGAGTATCTTGCATAGATCACACCTATGACAGCCGTTCTCGTAAATGTTGGTCAATCCTTTATTGAGTTTCATTTCTTTACTCCAATCCTGTTTTTAACGTATGTCAACAAGTAAAATAGTATATATATATATATATATATATAGCATTCATAAAGATGGAAATACTTATTTTTCGTATAAGCTATATTATCGTATGGATAAAAATAGTATCAAACGGGAAATAAATTCATTATTCATATGCAATGTCATAATCAAGGATTTAATACGGTTATCATTTTTATATACGTTTTTCTATTTTGATTTAGAGAAGTAAAAAGGTGTATTGAGTGAATCTTAATTAACTAACATTCACAAGACTAGTTTTATTGTAATGATAGTGACAATAAATGTAACCATATAAAAGTCAAGCGAAGGTGATTAAAAGATATCTCAATTCATATATTGTTTCCAAATAACGATGTGTCATTTCCTAGATCATTCCAAGTTAGAAAAGATCGTAATGTGCTTAAGAAACTAGTCAAACAATCAATTATTATGCTGGTGAAGCGTTAATCGTTACATGGTGTAACTATCTGCAATTTATGAACATCCACGCAAAGTAAACTATTTTACTTTATTTGCATCTCATGTACATAAGAAAGAAGAGATCGTCCTAAACGACCTAAACCCACATTGCATACATGCCTATAATTTCATTGTCAATGATCTATAAAGATTTTCATATATTTATATTCTCTTCTAAGCGTAGAGTTTCACAGTGTTCGAGAGAAATTGCCTGTTAAAATAATATTATACAATAACATTTAAATAACGCGTGCAAAACGATCGCGTGTAATTCGGATTCGTGTCTGCGTTAAGTGCAACTTGTGTCATTCTAGAAAAGTGAAACAAGCAATACGAGAAATGAACAAACAACCATGCTGAACAGATAATTGACAAGTACCTTGACATTTCTATCATAACATTTAATTACAATATATCAACAAGAATTGTAATAAAAATTAAAACAAGTTGGAAAAAAGAAAAGAGAAAGGGAATAAAACAAAAAGAGCGAAAGAGAGAGATAAAGAATTAGAGGACATATAAATAGATCTAAGATATGAACGCTACTGAAACCGATAGTTTATAATCTATCTTTTCTTTTTATTGCTATAACTTTACTTCAAATGATTGCAAAGATGATTAATACGTGTTTATCATTTTGACACGATTAAAAATACTGTTATCCTATTATCGATATAACCGTTTCACTGGAAATTATTATTATGATTCACATTCACCATGTCAGCTTTATCTTCTTTATCTTCTATTTATTTTTATATACTGACTAATTTATCACATTTATTATATTTATAACTACTTATAGTTAGTTATTATATTTATATAGATATATTCTACTGTCTACTTTATATAGATATATGTATAAAGAGAATTATATTTATAACTACCGATATCATATATTATTAAATTTTTATCTCTTTGTTATATATTCATACGTATTGATAAATATGCGCTCTTAATTTTCGTTATACACTTAATACTGTGATTACGGGAACATGTGAGTGTCAAAGATTAATACGAACCGGTGAATACAAGTGATGAAACGAAAAAGACGATGAAGAACATGCATCAACAGGCCATGCATCGAAAGGCGGGGAAAAGGGGGAGAAAGAAAAGTAAACTGCTCAAAAAGAGCAACATGCTAGTCGTTTAGCTTAGACCTTATACCTTTAGACCTCAATACTGTATAGCGTCGAGAAGGACGTAAGTAGGCATTTGCTGAGGGTTGGGTAGAAACGCCGGTGGTATGGCTTCTCCCATCAGACCGTTTGTCTGTCAAACCGTAACCGATATGTACCGTTTAATAAAAATACAAATACAGACAAAGACGGTCAGGATCTTATGCTAGGATCTATATGTACGTGTGAGGGAAACCCACGAGCATCTAAACGGAGAGTCGAAGACGTAGAAGTATGAAAAAAATCAATCAGGACAGTTATCGATATTATTTTACGTACCGGCATAGGAGAATATTGATATTGTTGTGGCATATACAATGATGGGGCCGGACATGGATACATCACAGGAGCGAACGTTTGATGTCCGGTAGCGGCTTGAGGCCCTGAGTATGTAAGTGAAAATTATAATAAATTAAAATCCCTGTTGTAAAATGAACCAATGATTATGAAATAAAATTAATGAATAATTAACGTGACCACATCTTGATCTAATGCAAGACTCTGTAAGATTGTATTTGTATTTACAGGAGGGACTCATAATAAAATTCAATCTCCCAAATATTTTGCTTAAGTATATCGATAAACAAAAAGTCGTAGAATTCCTTAGGTTTTGTTGCAACCATTTCTAGACGGTAAGATCATATATATGTAGCGAGTAATGCTTACCAAACACTCCTGTAGCTTGATAAATCGTTCCTGGATCCGTAGGTGGAGCGATGGAAGTCGCTGGTGCGGCAGCTGCCGTGTTATAGAATGTCATACCATTCTGATAAGCGAGACCCATACCTATACAGGCAAAGGAGGAGAGAAATTAGAAACGCGATCTCTGCACTCTTCAATCGTCCATAATATTGTTGCTTGAAAAATATATGCAAAGTATCTCGAAGTTCCCTGTGAATTGCAATAAATCAGGATCAGTTTCAAATAAAATTTTTTAATCAGCTATGTAAACATTCCTAAATAAACAAAATCAAGAAATTTTATAGAATTTTCTTAAAAATCTATCCTTAATATTAATTTTTGTTTATTTAATACAACACGTTATTACAAAAATATTCTTGCATATTTATTACTAATTACGTGTAAAAAAAAAATAAAATTTTAAGTAGAAGAATATCTAGTAACAAACACAAGTGTAGTCAAAACTTAAAATATCCAAAACACAAATTCAAAATAATTTGGCACAACAAGATACTGTGTCCATTGGAGAAATGAGCGTTAAGTAGTGTAATATAAACTGAAAGATTTAAACCGTAGTAAATGTGACTCAAGGTGTCGGAAATCCATAATCAAGAAGAAGAAGAGTTACATACCGTTCGCGTAGTAGTAAGTACTTGTAGGCACGGAAGGAGGCGAACCGGTACTACCGTCAAAGGATCTGGAGAAGGGCTGCTTCTTGATTGCGGGCGCTATGTTGAGTTTCCTCTCTCTCAAGACGATGCATTCAGCCTGGAACAAACAAAAGCAATGAATAAAGGAATGGACCGATTGTTTATCGAAGAGACATGGTTATCAATTACAAACCTCTTGTTGAAGCCGCTTAGCCTCCTCCTCCGTTTCGAAGGTGACAAAACCATAACCCTTTGACACGCCAGCGCGGTCCGATATAATTTTCGTGGCCTTGACATTGCCATAGGCCGAGAAAACCTGAGCTAGCTCCGCTTCGCTGGTGCTGGCCGAAATGCCACCTACGAAAATACGGTTCGGTACCAGCGTACCGTATTTCGGCGCAGCCATCGTAAGACTCGCGGCCGAGGCAGGGCTAGAGGCAGGACTAGACCCCTCCGTACCACCGGTCGAAGCCGAGCTCTATACAACAATCAAATGAGTTCTTCCTTTAATTTGCTATCGCGCGGAAATCACGTGGGGTGACAATGCTCCATCCCGAGATTCCTCGAGACAGAATTTACTGGCAATAACAAAGCTTTTGTGATCATCATTTGACGTAATTTGTCCCATGCAATATGTTCGTTTTTGACAAATGGAAAACCTGCGAAAGTCGAAAATAAAAAAAGACGATCAATTACGAGACATGGAAAAAGACTTTGGATTTAATCGATCCTTTTACCGTGACTTCTTATCTCACTCGCGTGTGTCACAAAGTTAAACAAATAGTTAGCAGTGTAGATATCTAATCGAAGTTAATTACACTTGTTATCATTAAATTTAATATTTTATTAAGTAACAATTAATTAATCCTATCGTGATGAATTTGCTATTTATTTATTTATGTAACTGTTTCTCTGATATAAGTTTGTTTTCACGATTTTCAACGTCACCATCGGGAATATCCCTTGATAACAGTTTGCCTCTCCTGAAACGCGAATCAATGACAGTGTTGTTCATGAATGTATTCACGCACAGGCAAAACAGTAATGAAAGTGAAAAGCTGTCGCAAGTGCAGGGTACAAATATGAACGAGCGATTCTCTCTTTCTCTTTCTTCCAGCGCCGACCTTGCTTCTCTAAACTCGCGATATTACGATCCCTGTCATTATAATATCCCATTATACGTCAAGCAATATTGTCGTAGAAATACATTTGAAAGCGGCCGTCCGACGATTTGTATACATACATAAATGCCGATCATTAATTTAGGAGCACCGAGCGAGAGAGACGTGATTACGAACCAAGAATGTGTATAGTACGGGGAAAAGCGGCCGAAAGTTTACGGTAGTTTTGTACTTCTCGATGTGTTTCACCTGTAATTTCTTCGAACGGAAGAGCCGATAATACGAAACGACAACTCCAAGAAAGATACTCCTTTCCTTTCCGTGTGGAGTTAAAATGCACGTTTATCGCATTATGTAGATTAATATATACATACAATTATCATAAGACGGCTAAAGAACTATCGAAGTTTGTTTAGCCATTTAACTGATGAGTCACTGCAGTACCTCTGTATATAGAGCAGAAGTGTTCGATGAGCTGTACTTGGTTACAGCGGTATCAAATATTCTTTACGCCGAAAGAATTACAATTCAGTTCGAGATGAAATTCGTTTACTTGCTGCATAAAATTTGACCTACAGTGTCGTGTCCCTAAAATGACCTCTAAACAGGGCACAATTTGATATTGTACAATATTATTGATTATCTGGAGGCTACATTGAGCCTATAGACTGTTTTGAATTGTTTATAAGGCAGATATCAATACTACCTAAAACTTCAAGAGTGAATTTCATTCTAAAGAATTAAATCTTACTCTTAAAGATTGAAAATTGAATCGCTCTTTTTCAAGATGCTTAATTTTCATTCTTTAGAATGAGATTTCACTCCAAAAAATTTAAAGAATAATATTGCATAAATAATTGTATAATAAGGGCTTTATAGTTCTTCATTGAGTTTTTCTGTAAACCTACTATGTCAAAAGATATCACAAAATTGTAGTAATTGTCGTATTTTCAACATCGGCAATATGTACTCTTGACATTCTTTGGAACCTTGAAATCTCACTCTAAGACCCGTTTTCACAATATATAGTTACCTAAAGATTAAAGGTTACCAACAGATTCATCAATGAAATTCATTCATGAATTTCTTGGTTACCTTTAATCTTTAGGTAACCGTATATTGTGAAATCGGGCCTAAAAGTTTTAGAAAATATTTTAAACATGTGTTATTTCTCCGCCGATCTGGCGATTAACATTCTTTCTCGTTTCTATAAATTCTGGCCATTACTTAAACATCTTTGCAGGTATTTGTACGCAACATTTATTGCAGGTATCAGGAATATACATGGGACGATGACACAAAAGCCATGTAAAACATTTCAAAGAATTTCATTCAATTTATTGGCTCCGATCCAAGGGATTTAAAAAATATGTTTAGTCGAAGAGAAAATGCGAAAATATCAAATGAGCCGATAAAATTGTCAATTTTCAATGCCGAACAGTAGCATGCTGTAACGACTAGGAAAACTGGAAGAAAAGGAAGAATAGTCAAAGCACCCCGTTGTGTAAAAAGGAAATTGCTCGTCACACAAGGGTCGTCATACAATGAATTGGAAACACATGGAAGACTCTTGTTAAAATTACCATTTTAAGTATATACATGGAAAGGTACTCTCTAAATGTTTAGGAGCGGAATCTCACTCTAAAAAGTGAAAATTGAGTCTTGAAAAAGAGTGGCTCAAATTTTAATCTTTAAGAGTGAGATTTCACTCTTCACAGTGAGGGGTTCACTCTAAAAGTTTTAGAGTATCTGTTCCGATGAAGTGGTAGGAGTCAGCAGGAATCGTGTTCTGTTTTTACCGCGGCGCATTCTATCCAATAATCACCCACTTCTTTACATCTCTCCATCCTGTGCAGCGTTACCCGATAATTTCAATTAAATGCGCAGAAAAGGAATTTTAACTCGAAAATGCTGATCTCAAAAGCGACCTTTCCCCAGAAAGTACTAATCTCAAAGGCACCATTTCTCCGTATTCCGCAAATCTTCCGATTAGAGATGAGAGGGATGGTACAAAACTGTGTTTTCACATCGTCGAATTAGTCTTGTCTCTTTCTCGCTCTTGACAAATCTCGGAAGCTCGCGGGGGTCACTCCGGATTTCCGTCCGACGTGGGGATCAGCCACGGGAGCGAGAGGCATCGCAACGTGTCAATCTTGCTTCTTCTTCTTCGTTCAAAGGCTTCCGAGATCCTCACATGTGGGCTCGATAAGGTGGTGGTACATTTCAAACATGGTATTCAATTCTGAACAAAATAAAATTTAAATTCAATTTTTTCAGTTCAAGTTTGTTTTTTCCTCTTTGATATCCTTCGGTATTCTCCACACAATGAAAGGATTATCAAACTTAGACCTCGAAAATTCAAATTTTACTTTGTTCAGAATTATAACTTATTTGAAATTGCATTACTTTATCCTATGATTATCACAAATTCCTTAGCCTTAAATTTCATAACTTTTCCCCTTTCAGACAAAATTTCATGGTTTTCCCTGATGCTTTCAATAATACTTTGAAATTTTCTATATTTTTTTCCTGATTTAGAAACCGTCAAATATTTTATTAAAAGAGCAATTTAACATAGCAATGTAAATTAATGTCGCTGCTTGCGTTTAATTGTTAAGTTAGTAATATTTCAAAACTGCCAAGAGAGAATGTGATGCGAGCATTCAACTTTTTTAAAACAAAGAATTTAAATTTTCCAGAAAATTTTGCCAAAATATTTTTCCCGATTTCCCTGAGCGTTCCCAATTTCCTCGACATTTCCCTGATTTCTAGTCTTCTAGTAATCCTGCTATACAACGACGGTGTCGATCTTGCGAGTGACAGATCTCGTGGAGATTTGACGTGACGTGCGCAGCTGCGTGATCGGCATCCGGTCGGCGCGGCGCCGGGACGAGGAGAGCAAAGCTACGCGGAGTATCGACTAGCGGCCGGAGGCGGCTGCTGCGGCGGTGGCGACACGTCGACGTTCCAGTTAACGTGAATTTCACGAGGAAGCATGCGACGGGTTCGCGACGCACGTGAGAACTCGAGAAGCTGAGGAGAGGAAAGCTGCCGAGTGGACCTGACACCACCGCACCCCTCTTACATCTTTCTCACTTTTTTCTTCATTTTTCTCTTTCCTTTCTCTCACTCTGTCTCGCTCCCTCCCTCTCGCGACTGCTCGCGACGATGGCGAGCGATGACAGCCAAAAGTGCAAACAAACAAGCAAGCAACCGACCAAACAAGCGAGCAGCACGTACAGCGTGCGTCGTCTCGAATCCGCGTGGAGCGAGCGGGAAGAGCGAGAGGGTCGGAGAGCGAGCGAGAGAGAACAAGTAGCGGCGATCTCACCTGAGATCGTACTCCAATCTTTCACGCCGCGAGAATGAATCCCCAACGTGTTTACATCCGCGACAATGAGATCGGTGACACAATTCGTGCTCGGGGGATTTAGTCTCTAAATTCTTTGGAGTGTGGAATCTCGCTCTAGAGAGTGAAAATTGAATTTCAAAAAAATTTTTTCTCTTCAGGGCACCTGTCGTGGAACAAGTTCTCGGAACAGATTCTCTCTCGTATCGGAATCATTCCTTTTTTCCTAGAAAACACAATAGAAATCTAGAGAACAATTGAATAATTCTGATCGCAATTTATTCCGAATAATTTCACAATACGTGACCAGAGTGAGACTAAAATCGACGGCTTTGAAATTCTGAGGCTCGCGACGACTCGAAGAACCCCATCGGCGCTTTCTCCTCGCCTTCCTCTTTCATCCCCCTCGACAATCCCGGAAGTCGCAAGCATACCGGGAAGAAACACGCACGACGTGCTCGCTCCATGATTATATTAGAGCGGACCAACAGTCAAGACCGTTTTTCCGAGAATACTCCGGGAACGAAAGCGATAGTGACGAGGAAGATAAACAGGGGACAGGGGGAGAATACTTGGCGCGAACGACGTTTTTGAATGCGCGAGGTACTCCGACAGGTCGCTCCTCATCGTCGACGTCGCCGTCGTCGACGACCCTCGATGTCCGCTGCAATTCGTAAAAATTAAAATGCGAATTCCGCGTATCAGAGGACACGCCGGTGTTTAATTCTTGGAGCGACCGACGAGGTCTCACCACCGTCGACGACGCTGCGCGACGTTGAGTCGAAGGGACGCGAGCGAAAACGAGAGAGAGAGAGAGAGAGAGAGAGAGAGAGAGACAGCGCGCGCGCGCGCGCTCGCTCTTTCTCTTTCTCGTGATAAATATCTAGGCGCTCGCTCGCTCTCTTTCTCCGTCCAGGGTGTTAACGGCGGGCACTCACCATCTTTCGACGGATTCGGACGCGCTGGAGGATCCGCTGGCGGCTGTCCCGGCGGCTCGATGGTACCCTGGCCTCGCGCGACAGTCACCTGGACGCCCAGGGACTGCCAAGGACCGTAGCACCGACCACTTCAGCAACACTTCCAGCCTCCGGCGGAGAAGCTGCCTTCCCGTCTCGCAGTAAACCTCCAAACACTACGGAGCAGGCAGCTCTTACAAGATGGCGGCCGGTGGCGCAGCGCCGCGTACTCCGAATTCACGGAACCTCGCAGATACTTGCGCGCGCACCTTATCGAGAGTAGATAAAGCCAATCGCGTTGTCACGTTTCCGTCGGGTGCACACGAGGCTCAACTAGACCGCGTCGACGTCTCCGCGCATTCGGAATCTGGAAACACTGGACATTCCGATATTTGGATACGTTGCACGTCCGAAAAGGATTTCAACTAAATTAGCTTGAGTCCCATTAATATAGATTAACTTTAATCTTGGTCCAATTTGCTCTCTCTTTATCTTTTTTTAGTTCTCGAAATTAGAGGATGAAGAATAATAGCGTATTCGATTTACTGATTCGACCCGACTCCAAGTCAACGATCTGTTCTTTTTAGCTGCATTTCTTGCATAATTTAGCTCTTCTTTTGTAGCTAAACAGAACAGACCATTGACTCAGAGTCGGGTCGAATCAGTAAATCGAATAAGCTAAATATAAGTTAAAACGAAATTAAAGTTAATCTAGTTTGTGAAAACGAATATTAATTGGCGATGAATTGAACTTTAAGCTCTGCACACATATAAATGCCTTATCTTTTATTTGCAATATGTATGTACATAAATAATTATATCCATTGTATGCATAATCTCTATTCTTAATTTTTTTATTTCTAATATTCAACATTTATTCTTGTTCCTAATATCTATTATGTTCAGTGCACAAAATCTTGCCTTTATCCATTTCTACTGAATGTAAATTAGCATTAAAATTTCAATTTAATTTATTGTTTATCTTTTTCTATATAGTTCTAATTGTAAGAATTAAAAAAAATATAAGGAGTCATGTAAACCATGATTAAAGTTAAATTATATATTGGTAAGAACAGATATTTGAAAATTGTAAAGAATTTTATCTACAGTTCATTGTTCCTGATTTAATTTTTTTTCCATATTACAATAAGCAATAAAAAATATTTTTATCCATGTTCATAAATTAAATTAAAAAATTACTTGATAAGTTAATTACTGATTAAATTAATCAGAGTTCAGTTAAGTGGAGAGAAGTCAAAGATAATTTCAATTAACTTAATTCTACGTAATTTTTGATTCTTCTAATCCTTTTTGTCATATGTCAAACAATAAAACATTAATAAATTCTATTCGAGTTAATATAATGCAAATTTTTTAAATTTACTAAAATAACACTACAAAATTAAGAGAAGCGCGTTATTTTAAAATAAATTTAAATTAAAAAATTACTTGATAAGTTAATTACTGATTAAATTAATCAGAGTTCAGTTAAGTGGAGAGAAGTCAAAGATAATTTCAATTAACTTAATTCTACGTAATTTTTTATTCTTCTAATCCTTTTTTGTCATATGTCAAACAATAAAACATTAATAAATTCTATTCGAGTTAATACAATGCAAATTGTTTTAATTTACTAAAATAACGCTACAAAATTAAGAGAAGCGCGTTATTTTAAAATAAAATAAATAAATAAGATACAGTTAATTATTGACTTATCCTCCTTGTTTTTTTTTAAATCACATCTGCTCATATTCATATTTTTTTACAACGCATTTTGGGTTTTAATTTTTCATGCAATTCCACTAAAAGTTTTCTGTAATGATAACAAGGATAACGGAGCACGAAAGAGGAGCAAATTGGACGAGTGACAAAAATGTACAATATCATATTATTTTTAGGCTTGAGATATCGTTTACATTTAAATCCAAATACGTTAAATCTGAATTCGTTGGTACATAAATCTCTTCATTTGAATAGTTCGGGATCTCCGTGAGATATCAAATTGAGCGAATCGATCACGTCGAACGCGAAACCGTTCAACGGAATTACTTCGGAGTCGTGTTCGCGATCAACGGAGATCTATCCAGGACTTACCGATAATCCGCGACCCGGCGATCCCGCGGCGACATTCGCTGACGACGTCGTGCGGCTGATGGAAATTTGTAGTGTTTGAGTAAAACGGAACACGAAAAATACGAAAAACGATGAACGAGAAAAACCGGGGACGAAAACGGAACTGGAACTGTAACCGAACTGAACGCGAGCGCATCGCTCGCCGAAGGGTTGGCGAGGGGTTAGAAGGGGAGGGGGAAAGATACCGCGACTTCCGGTCGACGCGACCGCGTCGCGTCGGGTCGTCGATGAGACGCGATGTGGAATTGATAGAATAATTCAACGGAGAGATTATCTTTCACGGTGGACCGATTGAACACGTCGATCGTCGCTGGGACGTCGATTAAATGGCCGTGCGATGCGCGACACCATTTTGACTAACGTTGCAGAAGCGAGCTGACTGGCGCGAGATTGCCGTTCAAGTGTTTCCGACGAACGGAAACGTCAAACAAAAGGAAGAGCGGAGGCGAATAACAAACCGAACGTAGCCCGAGAAAGAACGAATCGATCGGAAACAATGGATACTGTTAGAAATTTGGTCGCAATTCTATCATTACCGATTTTAAGTCAGGTGTTTCTCACTGAATACTCTACTCCTTTTTTTTATTTAGAACTATTTCAAGAGTCGCGAGTGACATCTTTCGTTGACTCTACGAGGTTTGAAACGTTTAATGTTACATTGGTAATTTCAAGATAAAAAATCTTTTTCTTCTCTATTGCCTCTAAAAAATTGAATTTAAAGATATTTTGAAAGTTTGTTAAAAATTAAAATATAACGATGTTAGAAATTAAATTTTTAATAGCTTCTGCTTTTTTTTTATTTTTAATTTTCAAATTATCCTTTCAATTTTTACGAATTTTAAGTAAAATATCCGCTATATTTTCTGTATTTTCTATATTTAGGAAACGTTTAAATATTTTCATTGTTTCAATGTTAAGTATATCAAAATTATGTTAACAAAATTTTAACATAAAAAATCGAAATATTCATCGATATTCATTCAAATATATCGATTATTAGTATCAGCGTAATATACAATGTTAAAAATGTCATGAAATTTAATGTAGTTTTAAGTTACATAAATTAAATTCAATTTTATGACACTAAATTAAATTTTATGTATCTGTAACTGAAAAATATATTTGTGTACATGTACATGAAATTTAGCGTACGTTTCATAAAATTTTACGAAGTTCGGTACATTTTTTATCAAATTTTATGTAATTGGCATAAAATTTAATGTAAGTAAACGTTAAATTTAAGTTATTGTAACTTCATTTTCATTGACAACATTAAATATTAAATTTTAATGTGCCTGCTTGAAATTTGCTTCCATTACATGTAATGGAAGCAAGTTTCTGTTTTTTTAACAGTATATAAAAAAAAAGTAATTAATTACCTACATTTTACATGATATTTCTAGTAAATATATCAGTGTCATTATCGCAAAATTGAGAGAGAGATCGCACGAAAAATATTTACAAACAAAATGTACAGACATTATACTATTTTCAGGTTTTAGATATCATTCACATTTAAATCAAAACACGTTGCAGTCGATGGCACGTAAACATACGGTCTTGTTTCTTCATTTGAATAGTTCGGGATTCCCTGTGAGATATCAAAATTCTGAAAATTTGAAATGAAAAAAGGGCTATGAAAATATTTTATAATACAATTATATATTTTTTATAAATCGCATCGTTAATCGCAATTTAACGTTTAACAATAAAATAGTACAGACCAACAGAAGCTTTCTGAAGGCTGCACTAACCCATCAAATCGAACATGAAGATTAATAATTATTTTTTATATTAACTACAGATATTCTTAAAAAAATATATAATTTAACGTCATATGTGTCCTCTTATAAATTACATGCAGAGTTATCTAACGTAAAAAAAAATATACGCGAACTGCCACACGACTTACATATCTTTTATGCATAGCCAAGCAAAAGGTGCAAACTTGTGGTCTTGTCGAACAAACGCCGCTACTTTCTAAAAGACGCGTACAAGGTTGATCCATGGCACCCGCAATGAGTATGGCGTCCAAATGGCTAATGTAACTGCTGGCCAATCTTAAGGTCTCTATTTTCGACAGCTTGCGGTCAGCCGGCTCGGTTGGGATCAAAGTTCTCAGGGCGCTGAAAGCCGTGTTCACGCTGCACAACGAAGATCGCGTACCTTCAGAGAAGATCTCATCCAGTGTTTCTCGCATCCTAAATCGCTCTATTAATATCAAGTCTATCTCGTTCATTATAAATACGTTAAGTAATTAAAAGAAGCGTCCAAAGATAAATGGTTCGTCGAGAGAAACTCCGCACGTAAACAAGAACCGCGCGCTTATTCTCCGAATCCTTCATCTTCCTCGCGCAACAAGAAATAAATGTTTAGATAATTCACTCGTTGTTTTTTATATCGTTCTCGTTATTATATGCGCAAAATGCTTTTTCACCTAAGAGTGCGATCTCTCTCTCGAGCGTTCGCTTGGTATCGCTGCTTCGTCGACTCTTCCCTCCTGCGTGCTGCCATGCCGTGGACGCGACTACAGAAACGCTTTCGCTAACCGTTCACAACGATGCTATCTTCATCAATGAGGCGACCGGTACAGCCTCTTTCCGTTCCTCCGGAATATGAAAATTTCCTCATCTCTCTGGTGTCACGGATACTTAACATCTCTCCCCGCCCTCCCGTTTCTTTCCCCTTGCTCCTTCTTTCTCTCAGATATCCGACACGCACGTGAGCAGCACATGTGTGCGATCAGGGACGGATGAAGATCCTCTCTCGCACTCTTTTTCGTCCTTTTCTCTTTCTCTTCCTTTCCCGGTTTCTACCGTAACGTGCTACAATTACGGCGAAGAAAATAAAAAACTGAATAATAAATTATACATTATAAAACAAAATAATAAATTATATAAATTACATTTACAAAAAATATATATGTATATCTTTGAAGATAATTGTTCGCATTGAAAATCGAGAAAATGTGAATATTGAAGTTATAATAGGATCTTTGTTACACACTTGATCACCTCTCATGCATTGGAATTAAATTTACAATGAAATACATACATAACAGAATGAATCCATACAACACGCACTCAAAACTTCGTCCCTGTCTCCCATACCACTATACGCTGAGTGATGCATTCCGAGTGTAAAGTGGACGACGGCTGCGTTTCGCATTAAGCTCAATAAAAACGTGGATGACCGTAGTAACCGGACGATAGAGAAGGATAAATTCCATCTGGAAAACTAATTAGCGTTCTATTACAACGTGCTTCCATTTGCCTGTGATATCCCGATTTCTCATGTTTTATACAATTATGCTGCTGAAAAACAGATGCTAAATTTATATCTTGTAGTTTGTTGATTGAACTTCAGGGCTGGGCGACGATATAATGCATAATTATTATTTAAGGCGCGAGAATAATTGAAGAAGAAGCTTCGTATGAAATGTTTACTCAATTAAATAACTTGGTTACATCAAATCAGTTACACAGCATAAAATTTACATGTTTCTCAAATGGTCATCGACTCAATAAGATTATACTTCAACGTTCGATATTGTCGAAGGAACATCACGCAGGATCAGCTAATATAAGACAGAATTAATTAAGTTTTGGATTTAATCATTATTGTTGACCGCACGCTATGTTACCGAAGGCCCGCGGTATAAAGGAATATCTTAAAGAATATATATATATAGAAATAATATATATATATATATATATAGAAAATATGCACAAAAGTGTCTGATATATTAATAAAATAATAATGGAACTTAGATTATACATTTTACGCGATTATATGAGCGATCAAACAGATCGATGTGGAAGGTTCGTCGAATTGGCGACTATAAAATGCTCGAAATGATTCTGTGTCATAGTAGGTTTACATATGTAAACGCAAATAGTCATATTTCATTCTACTTATACACATTACGTGATGTGACATAATATAAAATCAATTAAAACAAGGTTTCGATTATAAAAAAAAAGTGAATAAACAAAATAAAAGTTTGGTGTGTAAAAACGATGAGCAAACAAAAAGTTTGATGTGTAAAAAAGATGAATAAACAAAGTGTTCCACTCGCTTCAACACCGTTCGACCTTTATCTTTTTTCCTCGCTTTTACTTGCACTTATCATTTGTAGAAATAAATCTTGTAAAATATAAATATTATTATATATATGTCCAATATAATCTATACATATTAAACATATTTTATAATATCAATATAATCTATATATATTACATATTTATGTAATATATAATCTATATACATTACGTAGGTATAATATAATATATTTAATATACATAATTATATAAAAAATTTAATATATAGAATCTTATATATATTTTATGTACCTATATGCCTTTAAAAATATATGTACATACAAATATGGAAGAATAAAAAAACGCGGTGTAATTTCACCTCGTACAAGCACTTTGGCATGTGTACCACTTAAAATCAGATTAAAAAGGAAAAAAGCAAGGCCAATCGCGAGGTCAGGCGCGATCGACGAGCGGTGACATTGACAGCGTAGAGGAACAATTAATGATGTAATATCTAGAGAACTTGAAAATAGCTTATATATCAAGCACATCTGTCGTATTTGTATAAATCTCTCTAAGTATATGCCAGCACCGATGATATAGCGCTGGGGCTAAAATATCTTGTACTATTTACACTAGCGAAACAATTACAATTACAATATTCGCCGCGTATGTATATATATATATATATATGTATATATATGTATATATATATATATATAATATTCCTGTTTACATTGATCTGATAGATCATAAAAATAATTTCTTAGATAATAGATTACAGAAATATTCCGATTTTTCAGAAATCGTCGATGCGCCGAAGTAACGCTCAAATGTATATATGTATGTATACATATATATATATATATATATATAATATACACATATATATATAGATACGTTTAATATACGCGAATATACATATGTATATATCGCGCCTAAACGATCAAGGCTATATATATATAATATATAGTACATATATACATATATATAAATAAAAATGTGTTTATTGACGCGATCCACGTGCGGCTTCTTCCAGTGCGCGAACTTTAAGCTCGCGCTCACGCTGTTGTCTAAAAAATACCCTTCGTTAGTCCGGGTACTAATGCTGCCTTAAGTCATAACATTATGCAACAAGTCAGACAAGTTATGATAGTGATAGATTTCAAGGGACGAACCTTATGTATTCCTCGTGATGAGCTATAATAGAATGCGGAGGGAATCGGTCACGCTCCATCATGAGATGCCGTTGTAGTTGTTCGTGATGCGCTGCCATATCCGCGTAGGGTCTTCCGAGGAGTTCCGCCGGATGAAGTGCTAAGGCAGGATCGCGTGGCATTAAACCGGGACGAGGGTAATTAGCGCCGGCCGCAGCTGTGGACGAACATCATCATGTATGTTATTAAAAAAAAAGGAAATGAATTCAAAAGAACATTACTAATTCGTATTGTTTAATTGTCGCGCGTACGATATCCATTTTGAAAGAGTACTCGTGCTTAGCAAAAGCGTATTTCTCGTAATTTGTAAAGATAGAGAAAACCGCGCGCAGAATTTAACAATAAACCCTTAAGCTACGTTCCCAAAGTGTTACTAGTCATCTTCAAGCACACGCACATGCACACTCGCGCCTATTCCTCGACAACACTCACTCGCACTTGCACCTGCGACGGTGATAAGCGACTAGCCAGAGATCAGAGTCGAGCAACTGGAAAATCGCAGGCGTGCTGACGATTAACGGTACGGGAAAAAAAGGATCGTCTTGACCTAGACCTAGGCAAGTATAGGTAACGTAGGACGATCAATGAGAAACACACGGGCTGCCGAACGACGAGGAATAAGCAAGAGCGGCGTTTTCTTAAAGGAGAAGCTCTTCAGGAAGCTTTAGAAGAAACATCCTGGTTGTGTTAGGACCTACCCGGCAGAGGAAACCCAGCCGCAGCCGCAGCGGCTTCCTGCTGTTGCTGAGCCTGTTGCTGGGCCTGTTGCTGTCCCGGATGTAAGTGCAAGTGCGTATGCGCATGCGTATGCGCGTGAGTGTGAGCATGATATTCGGGCGAGATGCCAGCCATTTGCAATCGGACCATCGGGTCAGCGGCCAGAGCCAGCCGTTCTTCCAGCTGGCCGTGGTGATGAGCCGCCACGGGATGGCCAGCCGCTCCACCCGCTGGCCCCCCGCCGGCTGCAGTCGGAATCCCTAAACGCGACAGCGCTTCGATCACATAACTCGAAGATCACAGATACGATTCTCATGCCCGATTTCTTCATCTCCAGCTAACTCGGATAAAATTATCTGAGAGAGAGGAAGGAACCACTCCTTTCAAATGTATACCGCTAATTGTAATATAGAGAGCCAAGGTTAGCTATTATATGAACAGAGTTAACTGGCGCTGAAGAAATCGGCCATTAATTTTTAACAATTAGTCTACCTACGTCGCATCCCTCAAAGCTCTTGGCGCTCTTGATCTAATTATTCTTTTTCCCCGGCCTACCCGAGTTCTTTCTATTACATCAGCCTTTAGGCTATATTCTTAAGTCAATTCGAATTTTGAAAAGTACAAGTGATACGGTCGAACGAATATTAATTGACGAGTCTCTATCTCTACTGCCGAGATATCAAATATTAGCTTTGTCAACAATTACCTAGCCGTTCGAGTCGTTCTCTCTCGAGTTGACTCGGACCTGGTGGAGCTCCGTAGAGGCCAAATTGGTGTAAGGCTTGAGGCGGTCCAGAAGGACCTGGTGCCAGACCGGCGGCAGCATATCGACGATGTATCTCCAGCCAATGGGGATCGACTGGAGGCGCTGGCATCGGTCTGGGTGTGCCCTTGAACAGCTCTTCCTTCAACCGATCGTTTAACTCTCTCTCGCGTAGCTCACGTATCTCGCGTTCCCTCTTCTCACGTTCTAGATGCTCCAATTCTAACCGCTGCGCCGCAGCTTCACGCCCGTAAATATAGTGCAGCATCGGGTCGGGTGGTGCCGGATGTCTGGCGGGGGAGAAGGCGGCGTGCGGCCTAGCGTATTCGGATAGTTGTCTGAGTGCTGGAGTATCTGCATAGGAACCAGGACGAGCGGCATAACGGTCGTAAGGTGAAACGACAGGTTCGAGAGGACCACGACTTGGCGGTTTACACGCCTCGGGCTGTTTCTCGGGTGTCGTCATCTTTCGGGCCTGTTGCGCCGCAGCGGCGGCGCGATCGCGCTCTTCTCGTTCCCGCTCCGCTTGCTTCCGCGAGCGTTCCTCGCGTTTCCGCGCAAGTTTCGAATCTGGTACGGGTTTGAACATCAGGTCGGTGCGCGTACACGAGTTATTCTCACCGCGATTCCAATGCCTCAGGAAAATCGCTGATTGCGATCGGTGGCACTCGGAATCCTCGATACGCGGCTCCGGCGATGGTCCACGTGGACTAATGGGATCCTCCGGTTCCGGGTCCAAGTCTTGCTCGATCTTTGGCTCTTGAACAACCTGTGGTTGCTGCGATTGTGGTGGACGATGATGATGGTGTGCGGAACTGGATGACGTCAGGCACGTAGCTGAGACAAGCGACGATTTGCGTTGACTACTATGTGAGCTATGCGACGAGGAATGGCTGTGGGAACTGTGAGAGGAGATAGTCAGCAGTTTGTCGTGATGTAAATTGGTTGGCTGCTGATGCATACTGGATGAATGGTGATGACTCGCAATCAAGTTCTCGCCTTCCTCTCTGCTTGCGACGCTCGAGCTAGTGCTAGCATGATGCGCTGTCATCATGGCGCTGTTGGTTTCTTGGCTACGCTGTGGCGAGGGTGGTGGAATGGCATGAGGTACTGGGCCGTAAGGATATGGCGTGAAGGACGGGTATCCTCCCACTGGCGCGTATCCTGGATAGGCATGAGGATGATACGGATGCATGGCGGTGAATAGCGAATGATGCATCAGCGGATGATGTGGATGGAAGGGATGTGCCATGTGCGGACTCGGTTGCTGAGCGGGATGCATTACTGGTTGTGGGATTGAACTGGGCGGTGGTGGTAGACTCGGAGTTGGTGTTGGCGTAGCCGTCGGCGACGCCGCGACCGGCTGTATCGATGGTATCTGACTCGTCGGCGCTATAGAGTGTTTGCTTGGTGTCGGCGGTTTGCTTATGCCGTCCGGATCCTTTTTTATGTTGTCCAGGCTCGGACCAGGGAAAGAGGAGCTTTGGAAGCCCGGTACCTTGACCTCTTTTAAACTTTGCAAAGGATCCGGTTCCGGTGGTATAATCTCCTGCTTGATCTTTAAATTCTGTGGCTCCATCGGTGGCGTTCCGGCTAGATTGTAGATACCCACGGGCTTTTCCATTGGCAACATTCCGCTGGGCTGTATTGGTTGGAACAAACTACTTGGCTCCGATCGTTCCGGTTCGTTATTCTCGCTCGTCCGTTCCGGAATACGTTCTGGCACCATGCGAGAGTCGGAAACTCTGCTATCTCGAGTCCGTTCACTTACCGACAGTCTCTCGTCTGCCATTCTCTCGGCGTTTCTATTATCGGACGACATCACCGTCAAGCCAAGCGGCTGTGACGGCGGACTCGGCATTGACGACATCTGGCCGATTGGGCCACCGATACCAGCCGATACACTCTGTGAAATGTTGAGGTTCAACGGCGGTGGTCCCGTCATGTTCTGTGGCAACGTTTGCGCAGAACTTTGTAAACTCTCGGTCACATGACTACGAAGATTCGTTGGTCCCATATTCTGCGCGCTGGGTGGAACGCTATTTGGTGCTATCTGCGGTGGTATGCTTTGCGATAGGTTCTGTGGCACGTTCTGCACCGGTAACGGCGGCGGTGGTGGTTGTACATATTGCATACTTAGACTTGTCGGCAGCACACCAACGCCAGCACCACTTTGTTGTTGACTGGGCGATATCACTGGGATTTGCGAGTTTGGCATAGTTGCCTGTGAGCCCACGCTAGTTATAATACCAGGTATAGTTTGCGACAAGTTACGAGCCGTAGCCGCCGAACTCGCATCATTGGATCCAGCTCCGACCTGCGCAGACGTGCTCAGATTCAGCTGAGTCGGTTCGGGCTCCTTACCTATTTCTTCGTTGAACATCGTTGGCGACATCGTCGATTCGATCGGCATCGGTTCCAACTTCAACGGTTGATTCATGGCTAACGGCACGTCTTCTGTTTGATCCATCATCTTGCTTTGATCTACTGGTTCTTGATCAAGCAAGCCAGATGGCTTCTTCTCCAAACTGTGTATCACTGGTACCGATATCGGCAGACTCTGTATCACGGCTGGTACCGGGGTTGACACCGGCGTCGGCTCGGATGGCTCCTCGGGCGTCGTGACGGCCGGACTACTCACGGGCTCTTCCGTACCTGCTACACCGGCGACCGTTGGCGGCGTCGGTTGATTCTCGTTTGCGTCGCCCTCCGTTTCCCTCTCCGGCTCATCCATCAGGGAATTGCTGTCGGTAGTGAGAGATTCGGACGGACTGTCGGGCCGTTCGCCGCCGCCGCGCTTTCGCTTCTGTGCGTCTTTGTCCTCGTCGTTGCAGGCGTCGTCTACCTGACCTGAGCGTTTCTGACCCTTCTTGGGCGTATCCGTTTTGCCAGATTTCTTTTTACTCTTATCGGGCGTCTGTTGTTGCTGCTGTTGCTGCTGCTTTTCCTGATCAGGCGTATCTGTGCCACCAGTTCGTCGCGGTCTCGCTGGTCTTGGTGTCTCCTTTGCTTTGTTCCGCGTGCGCATTCTACCAGGACTCTCAGGCGATTCCGCGGGCACCGGGCGGAACAGATAAGGCGGCGCGGGTGGGAGTTCCCCGGTTTTCTTTAGATGTGATCGACATTCTGCACAGAGTAATAATCGATCCTTGCCGGCTACCTGATAGTCCTTCGAGTTGGTGGAGAAGCAGTGTTGGCACGAATGTGCCGTGCCGTTCGTGTTGGTATCACGCGAGTCACTGTCTTCTTCCGAATTATCGTCCTCGGTCACAGAACTGATCTCACCACCGGGATTGTGACTGGCTGGAGTGCCGACCGGCACAGTCTCAGCCTCAGACACGGCCTCCTTCGCACTAATGTTGGCCGTTGGCTGTGCGTCCTTAGTTGGCGTAGGTACTTCCTCTTTAGGCGTGCCGGCGCGTGAGTTGCGTGTATTGCGGATTCGCCGCAAAGAGCTTTGCCTACGCCGCCGATGTGGCCGATTGTTATTTGCGCCTGGTGTTTTCTTCCATAAGTAATAGAATTCGACGAGCTCCGGCTGTGTAAAAAATTTATTAGTGACACATGGTACAATAGTAGACACTTCTTTACGTCGAAATTAGTGACACATGGTATAATAGTAGACATTTCTTTATATTGTAAATCGTAACTTTCTCTCAGCATGACAAATCTATTGAATTCAAAAGATTTTCTCTTATTTGTAACTAAATTAAAAAAACAAAAATTGCTTATATGAAGTGATGTTTATTAATTAGAATAATCCTGTTGCTTTTTAATATTCAAAATTTTAATATGAAAAAAAATTGTATCTATCAATTTTATTTCAAATAGGAATTACAAACTTTTAGAACGACAATCTTTGAATAATAATACATTCAGTTATACGTAAATTATACTGACAGTTTTTGTAAAAGTATATAAATAAGAAATGATTTATAAAAAATATTTTCATTTTATATATATATATCGTTTTTCAGAATATTTGCTACTATAATCTTTTGTATTCAATAAATTCATGTAGTCGGATTTTTATTCTCTATAACAACGAAATCTTTAACACTGCAGCACTACTCGTTTTTAACTAACTCAGGCGTAAAAGCAATGAGTCATTCGCCCTACAATCCTGATTAAGCATTGCGCGACATCTTTTTATTTACAATCGAAGATAAAATATGTGGATTGAGTTTCAAAGCAGCCAGAGATGATCTGGACATATAAACAAATGATGTCTAAGACGGTTCCAAGATATACTGCCAGTACTGAAAATCTTTAGTATACGTAATGTATACCGTAGATTAATTAGCAGCGTATATCGGAATATGGGTATTTTTAAAACAGTAGATGAATGCTCCAACAATTGGTTCTACCGAATGTAAAAGTATATAGATTATAAAGACAAATACTTTAAAAATAAAATATTTTAAAACTATTCGTTTGTTGCATTATAAGTTATTGTATTATTTTTACTAGAATTTGTAATGTAATCACGTATTTTCTACAGTTATCAATTTTTTAAATCTCAAACAATTACATTAATTAATTTAAATTTCAAACAATTGAATTAATTAATTTAAACGTAAAGAGAAAAAAAGATAACAAAAAAGATCAAACTTACAGCAACCTTAACAGACAGGTAAGAAGAGCAAACTGTCTATAAAAAATAAAATCTTTACCGTGTCCTTGTGAGGCAGAAGATCCTTCCTAATGCGTGCAAAATTCTTTCCAAACTGCCGCAAACCCTTGACGAATCGCTTCTATGAGCAACGAAAAGAAAGAAAATCTGTCTATTAGAAAACTTTCCTTGCGGTCAGTAAATAATGTTGACAATAACAGAACGAAGTGAGCACGTACAGTTTCGTCCTCGGACCACTTCTTGTCGACGCTTTTCGGTATAGGACATTTGACGAGTGCCTGGAGCGCCCTACCGGGATCATAGCCAGAACTGTGAAGGGTGTCCAATGCGTTGATGGTAGTGTCGTCTCGAGAGGCAGCCACGCAACCATCATCTGGAGAACCGCCGTCACACATACCGGCGAACGCGGCCATTGAACGGGCCGCCCTCAAGTACATGAGCAGATCCCCGTCCAACGCCATGGCTGGTACCCATTTTAGCTCCTCGCGCTCCTTGGAGAATTCTGGATCGGGTGGCAGCTCTCCGGGGGGTATACCCGGCCGATACTCAGGCAAACGGGCCTGACAAGAAACCAACTCCTGTAAATCCCAAAATTCGGGATTGCGCGCGGTTAGCACCAATGATGCCAAAGCGAGTTAGTTAAATGTCACATATCGGCTTGCCTTTTCAACACGGGCTAACTAATCGCTCTCTACGTCCCAATCCTTTCTTTTTTTTTTATTCTTTACGTAGAAAGGTACCGATAATGAAGCTACACATTTTTTCTCAGTCGACTTTCTCTTTCAGTATTTTATAAACGAATAAAAAAAACTATATCTTAATTTATAATCTCCCTTTTCTTTTTGTTTCTAAAAATGCACGCGAAACAGACATTCGCAAGCAAACGCTCGCACTTCATTAACGCGATAATCGGCTGAACTGTCTCTAATGATTAAAAATAGAAGTTACAATCTGCATTTAATGCAAAAAGTATATAAGTTACATAATGTATCGTTTTACAAAGTCATGATTCGCGGCGTATATAATGTGTTTGCAAAATGTATATAAAAAGAGGAAGAAAAAAATTAGTATACAAGCTGCTTATTAATCACAGATGCAAAACATCAAGTAACGAATGAAAACAAAGCTTCACATCTTCGCACGTTTGACGATGATTTTAATTTGATATCGCTTCAAGTATATCTCTCATATCTGGGATATCCTGCACATTAAGAAGCATTCGAAGTGAAAGGTGACTTCGCTAGGTCTCGGGACAGTTCGTACAAACGCTCGTGCTCACAGATGGTTCAAGTAAGCAATCGCGAATAATTGTTGTATGCCAACGGGTATATAAATAGTGCGAAGGCGCGAGTTGATCCGCTTCGATCAATTATTTCACCGTGACTGAAAACCACTCCAAATTAAGAAAGTGTCATCTCATGCTCAAATAAACTGCAATTAAACCACCTTTATGCATCGGCTCCCAAGTATGTATTTCACGCACCGCGCGTTGTGCCGCTTGCAAAGAAAGACTTTCCGCCGGCTTATTCGCCGAGCACGGCGATCGTTCGTGTGATACAACAAGTATCGCAGGAGAGCTTAACGAATACATTTCATGTATTGCAGACGAGACGAGGTCTACACCTGAAACATTCGAAGCTCTTTAATGCGTGATGCGTTAGTTGAACCATCGGATGGGAACCGGAATGCGTGAGAGTCCGATCTTATCTTGGTAATAATTTTTAAAAAGTTTTACATAAAACTGCCACTTAAACGTATCGATATGTCTTTCGCGGCTTAAACGTTCCCCGATTACCATAAAGTGTCCCCTCACGAGAATATCCTCGGATTTACATTAAACACGTGACATTTACTGTCGCAGGAAATATTCGGAGATAGCGTGCGATGAGAAAGAAATGGAAGTTTTCTGTATGGAGTATATGCCGATCCCGGGTACATACCTTATCGGTCTTATTGTTGAGAAACTTTAAGACTGATCCGCGTACTTCATACTTTTCAGATTAGTATATATTTACGTAATGTTCCTCCGCAGAGTACAATTTTCTGCATTACTTTTCGAACTATCCGTACGCGCGTGCGTATCTGCTTAAACATGTGTACGCACATACACACGTATGCCACGTATACGCGCGAACGTGCAGTTCTTTTTACATTTGTTTACATTTATCTGATTCATTGATGTAAAGAGCGTGTGAAGATCCCCATAATCTTTCATTTTCTTTGTTCAAGAAACAACCTGTATCACTCTTTAAAACTGGAGAATTACATTTTGCTTGATGCAATAAGGAACGCAATTATCTCTCTAATGTAGGTGCATGAATAGCTTTTCTCATAATTGTATATTATAATTGTATATTATTTTCAAGACAACTAGTGATTCCAAAATCACTTAATCCAGCATGGATTATGCAGATTAGCATGTGTTACGATACGTAACATGTAAGATCAACCGATCAGAGTCTTTCATTTCATAAAAAAGAAAGAAATGAAGGACTTTAATGCTTATTTCCATAGATATAGATTAAAGAGCTATTTTTTTCCACTCCAAGTTCTGAACTGATGTACACTGGTGTAATAAGTTAGAGTGAGATAACTATAGTTTGTTTCACTCTAACTCATTACACTAGTTGAGAACTACTTCGGAATTCTTTGAAAAAGAACAGACCTTATCTTTAATCTCGGTTCAACTTGCTCTTTATCTTTTTCCAGTTCCAAAGATTAGAAAAAAATGAAGACTTAAGTTGAGACGAGATTAAAGCTAATCTACATTGATGGAAACGGACATAAGTTTGGTAATGGTTTATTTTCTTACGGATTATGCGTTATGCAAGACTCTATACTATCAGCCTTTGTAATAAGACACAAAAGACTTTCAATCCACACATGAGATGCTTTTCATTCGGTGACATAAATCATCACAAGTATCGTTCTAGCTTTATTACTCACTGGAATAACAAAGAAAATAGAACGTTTGTGTCGACTTGAGTCACAAAATGGAAAGCACTCATAAAATTGTAATAATTATACATATAAAATAATTACGTAACAATGATCGATTAATGTGGGGAGAATGATGATTCGAGATTGTATCCACACACGCCCTTTACCTTGCTACAAATGTTTATACTAATAGCAAGCCTCGAGATAGGCACATTGTGCAAAACAGTTAATTAGCAAGAAAGTTTTTCAAGATATATATGGCAAACCTGATGAGAAGGGCCAACCCGAATCTCGCCCTGGGTGCCAGCAGACATCTCCCCCTCCTCCGAAGCTCCTCCGTCTTTCTCCAGCGTTTTGAATGGCTTTGATCTTGGATTTTCAGTAAATTCCTATCATCCACCCCCTGAACCGTATAGTTATGCCATCAATATGATTGAAAGACGATATGGCAAAAACATATACTGCTAACATGCTCGCCTCGGTATCTTTGTAAAAGATAAGAAAACTACATGTATGCATTGGCGCCTTATTTACAGAGATAATGTAATGGAACTCTTGATAATTTTTTACAGCCTTAGTGTAAACCTAGCGTATTTGCATACTACTGATTTGCTGGTATCAAATGAAAACATACGGAAAGCGGTTATCGTTCCAAAACTGTCACGCTCAATATCTAGGAATCTATTGTACGTGTTGATGAATATCCTCGAGTCGGGTGTCGATAAAATTCCAGTATAAGTTACAAACATTAGTTTAAGTTACAGATATGCTCGAAATGAAATAAAAATTTCTTGATGCAAAGCACAAATGCAACATATCTACCCCAACCGATTCCTTCTTAAAGTCTACAAACTGAAATGAATAACAAGAAATAAATCGCGATAGACATATTTCTAGATCACTAATATATAAAGTAATTTACAAAAATAGAAGATCAGTCAGTGTAATCTGTTATATAATATATAATTCAATTATATGTACATTAAACACGATTATTTTATACATATTGAATTATATAATATATAATTCAAAGAATTTTACTGCCTACACGTCTCACATTATGTTTCTCTTTCTCTCTCTCTTTCTCTTTCTCTCACACACTGACACGCGCACACACATGCTCTTTCTTTCTCTCTCCTTCGTGGTCTTGAGTCACGGTGAAAGCGGCAAACAGGCTAATTAATAAGCGCGCAAGCTCGAACGCCTTCGACGAGGAGGACGATCGCGACGGTCAAAGTCGTGATTCTCGATCGCGGATTTCGAATTTCTCGCGGCGGAGGTGTGAAAAATTCCTCGTGAATGCGTCGCGTGAACGAGCGAGCGAGCGAACGCACGCACGCGCGCGCGCGCACGCTCGCGAAAATTGTCACGCGCGATCGAGATCGGATCGACTCGACGCGATTGTCGCGTCGCGTCCACACGTATACACACGACGCGGTGGCCCCAGGTGGCCCCGCGGGGAAACCTCCGGGTTGACTCCGCGAACTCACCCGTGCTGTCGTCCCCGCGCTCCGGCGGCAGCCTCCCTCAGCGATGTGCACGCGTCATCGTTCCCTCGAGGATGATCGCGCCTCGCACCTCGCGCGCTCCGTGCGATGATTGCAGGCCGGCCAACGCGCGCGCGAGCGCGGTCGGACGAGTGCGGAGGGCTGGTGCGACTCCACGCGAGGAAAGGCCCCACTTGGCGGAGGCGGCGACGACGACGACGACGACGACGGCTGCCGCGATTCTTTACGTACCTCCTGCCCAAGTTCAGTATCCACAACACCCGAGCACGACGGCCATAGTGCGGCGCACAGTAGCGACGCGACTGGTCGTACTCGAGAACCAGTGCCGATTCCGCCCGCGACTTTGAAGTTCAAATTTCGATTCCGACCTCGGAAAGCATATTGTAGCTTGCTCTGCTTATTATTATCTCGCTTCGCATCCGTTCGATCGTTTATAAAGCTCGTTTGAGATACCTTTGATCTTTATTTAAGATCTTATATAAGGTTTTCCGGATGAATTTTATGTCGAGATTATTGCTACGTTGGCTAATGCGTGTTGACCAATGAAATGCGCGGCATAGGACGCCAAATTGGAAATTGTTACAGCTACGTTCGGTTTATTCGCTTACGCGCATTAAGCGTTTAAGGTGCATCCACATGACAGTCGGAATTTTGAAAAACCGAGGTAGGTTCGATTTGAATTTTCAGTGCGTTTATGGCTGCATTCGCTTTGCCGCTTTCAGCGGTTGTGAGTATCAATTGTCCTTGTTTAATATTTACTAAACAACAAGGATGAAACGACGCTTAAAACGTTATGAACGCCAAAACGAACACGGCCTATATTTGTTTTACGTCTCCTTTGAGCGTCTAAATTGTCTAAATTGAAATCTCGGAGAAATAATATAATGGGGATCGATCAATCAATAATTTAAGTTTAGCACGTTTGTACAAAGGTACATTTTCACGAACTGCTAATGCTTTCACCTGCTATTAACGACAAAAAGTATCACGTGATCAAAATTGTACGCTTGATATTCACCAATTTTGGCCACGTAATCCTTTTTGTCGCTGAAACGGTTATTGGTTTGAGTTGAAAATGTACCTTAACGTGCTCATTGCTCAATCATGGCTCATCCTCATGAAAGTTTTTTTACATCATGAAACGTAGTTGGTCGGATCAACACATGTGATTGTTGTGACGTTGAATCACATTGAACAGACTTCCCCAAATACAACTGTTTTCTCGACTTCTCTCTCTCGAATTCATCATCTTTATCCGAATAAAATAGAAGTTTAACATTATTCTGTAGAATACGCACATACGTAATGGCAAATGTAAAGAACGAAGTGAAAACCGCATTGGTGTTGCTCGCCGATGGAACGGAGGAAATGGAGGCTGTGATAACTATCGATATCTTACGGCGCGCCGGGGTACGTCGCCTAGGACGATCGATTCCTTGGCAGAAAATAAACAACATATATACATGATTATTTCTCCTTATTTGTTTATTGTTCTGAAGGGCATTCCACGTTACATTTCATCGTTCGGTTGTCGGGATCTTTTTATATCACGCTTCAAAATGATCAATCGTCCCCTCTCATGATACTCTCTTGATTCTTCGTAATAATTAAATTACAAGATGTATTATACACAATGAATGCTTTTTATTTAGTGATGCAAATCGAAACGTTCTATCTTTTTTGGTATTTTAGTGATTAACAGAAAATAGAACGAAATTTGCTGATTTGTGTCATCAAATCGGAAGTACTCCATATATATATTTACATATATGTACATATATACATTGCTCATTTGTTATAACACATTTTAGAAAAACAAAATTTTTTTTCCAAAAAATGAGTTTAAATTTTTAAATATTTTGAATCACTAAAATTTTATAATATTAATTTTAAAATATAATTTTAGTATAATAACTGTTAATTGTAAAGGAATTTTTTCTTTTTTTCTTTATGTTTCTGTTTTTTCGACGCAACTATAAAATGATAATTTTCGAATAATGTCATTGTCGTAGAAAATGAGCGCGATATGTATTATATATATTTATTTATGTAATTTTTAATCAATATTTTTATAAGAAATTGTGTGTTTTGTTGGCGATTGTTTTTGATATTTTTAAATATTGCTTGTGATAAGAGCTTCTTGATAATTGTATGTCATATTTAATTATATATCAATTTACAACTATTAAAGAACAAAAGATAGTATTTAATAATTAAACAAATTAACATATTCGAATAACTATATTGAAATAAGATAAACAGTAATAACTTGTTCGTTATTGAAACTCAATTTCAACAATATTAAAATTCGGCCAAAGATGAGCGAAAAAATTAAGATGTTCTAAATGAAAAAAATTAATATGTTCTATATTGAAATGTTTGGATAGATCACAGTTACTGCAGCTGGTGTACAAGACAGCAATTGCGTGAAATGCAGCCGCGATGTCAAGATCTGCACAGACGTTCTATTTAAGGATGCTCAGGAGAAGAGTTACGATGTTGTTGTTTTGCCTGGTGGTCTCGGTGGAGCTAAGACATTTACATCTGTAAGTTTGTTTGACTGTCTGATTTTATTATGATGTAAGGATAACTAATAAAATTTGTCTTGTTAGTCAAAGGAGGTTGGAAGGTTGTTACAAAAGCAGGACAAGGAGAACAAATTAATAGCAGCTATCTGTGCAGCTCCTACAGCTTTAAAAGCGCATAATATCGGCAAAGGAAAACGAATCACCTCTTACCCAAGTATGAAAAGAGATCTGTGTGACTCCTACGACTATCAGGATGATAAGAACGTGGTGATTGATGGTAATAATTGATTTACTATATATTTATTGATATTAATAATTTCCAAGTCAATCAACAATTTTTAAGAATTTGATTTCTGTATTTTATTCCCATTAATATTGATATTGATTTCAATAATTTTACAGGCAATCTCATAACTAGCCGAGGACCAGGAACGGCTTTTGATTTCGGGCTAACTATTGTTGAGATATTAATAAATCTTAAAGAAGCCACGGATGTCGCGAATAAGTTACTATATAAATACGAAAGCTGTATAAACGCTGTGTAAATTTCTTTAAACACTTTGTAGTTATGGCTATAAAGTGTTTGTGTGTAAGTTTGGTGCTTTCCAGCAATGAATTGACTGAAACGTTGCTTAGCTTTTTTATTTTACCACCACAGTGAAATAAAAAAAAAGATCTCCTACATCTATATCCGAGTATAATCTTAAAATCTCTTATTGGAGTATCACTTCTAGAAAAATAAGTGGTAAAATGTAAAAATTTGGTGTTCGTGAAATGATATAAAATAGTACAGTTGAACACAATATTTTAATTGCGTACACTCGTGTCGATTTGTTTGTATCACAATTGAAAAATACGTAATCGTACATGTGTCGCCTATGCTCATTGTTGGAAAGCAGAAAGATTTATATGCTCTAAACGCACACATACAAATTAAAAATGTAGTTGTTACATTTAAACAAGAAATTATATGTAATATATATAGAAACGCATGGAACTGAATATATATATTAAATAATGTACTAAAGCAAAACGACAAAAACTTTTAATTATACTTGAAAGATATTTAGATGCGTTTTAATTTAAGTGATATACAAGAAGTGCTACAGACTCATGCTATTTTTAATTTACAAGTCTTTAATGCGGTATCCATATAGCATGAAATATTAATGTGAATCATCTTTTGAAATATTTCGCAAACATTTATAAAACAATTAAAAATATTACATTAAAACATTTCACAAAAATATTTTAGAACCATTATATAAATATTGTAAGAAAAAAAAGTTTCAAATTAAAGCTCTGATTTCTTGAACATAATTATATTTCACAGAAATACTTCAAAAATTTCTGAAATATTTCAAATCGTGCAATAAAATATTTTATAAATATTTCATTTGCGTATTTGCTGTGTGAGAGAGAGAGAGAGAGAGAGAGAGAGAGAGAGAGAGAGAATGAGGGCAGGAAGTGCGGCCATATCGAGCGGGAAGTCCAACGATTCCATCGACTACTCTCAACAAAACTACGTCCATATACTCCATATCCATCCGTATCCCCGTCCCTTCGATGCGACACGCTGGATATCGACAATTCAGACGAGCGCGTAAATTAACGCGGTCACGATGCGAGATGATTAGTGCGTGCCGAGAGGCGCGTTAGTGATGCCCGGTTTAGAGGGAAGTATTTCGCACGACACGAGTCCACCTCCCACGCGCGCCCTAATGTCCGATGGGGATCATGCGGTGCCCGAGCAAGTGGTGAAAAGGTTCGTCTTCAGATCACGAAAGGCGCAGGGCTGCGCACAAGACGACGAGCACGAGGAGAGTCTGGAGATTCTCATACCTGAGGTAAGGGGACAACTTCGCGCGCGAGTTCCTCGCACGCCCGCAGTATTTCCGGCACGCGCGAGCTACCAGTGTTACGTGCTTCTTGGTTAGATCGCTCCGCGAAAAATCATTTCGTTGACCTACAATTATTTCCGGGGAATCTTCGCGAAATTTTCTCGTTCACCTTTTGGTTCCGTTCAATTCATTTTGTTTTCTTTTTCAAAACTGTCAGTTTGCAGATTTTTTCGTGAATTTTTCACGAATCCATAATGAGCGTCAACATTTCTATTCCAACACGCTGGCGTTTATTAAACCATTAATATGTGAGGGTGCAATTTATTATTACTTGTAATATATATATAATTTTGTATTTCCTTAGAGATTTTTATTTTTATACTGTTATAAGATCAGAGTTTTTCAAAATGACTGTTGCATAACTTGGGCTTCAGATAGCAGATAGGTTTCAACAGTTTCAATCTCTAGAATAAAGTCTTTAGGTGTTTTCAGTGAATACTCTGGTTCAGATATCAATAGATTGATTACTAACATTAGTGATTACTATTTTTTTTTTAGTGATCTTTGAATAAGAAATAGATGTCTTTTGCTCTACTTTGTTCGAATAGAATAGTTATACACTGACCTAAACTATTAAATAATTCTAATCGTTTTGATAAAATTAAAAATAATCCTTAACGTAAACCAATCTTAGCCTTAATAAATTCATACACATTAATTTGAGACACCTCTCGCTCTCAGTTCTTGATCTAACTATTTTTTCATCATCATATTTCCTATGTTGCCTAATGACATGTTCAAGACTTCATATCTGCAGTCACAATGCTCGACATAATTCTTTTTCACAAGTGAGATATCTAAATTAAAACGATTCATTCTAATTCCATTAATAAAGGAAACAAAATATCGTTCTGCATTAATTTTATGGAACCACAGCTTAATCCTTTCTATATCATACAAAAATTCTTGAAGTACTTCCTTTGTGTATAGCATCTTTCACAATAGAGTCTTGGTGATTACTGATTTCAGTTGCTGCAGGCTAATTACAGTTTCAATACTTGGCCCTGCGCGCCTGTGCTTGCCTGGTATCTCTGGGAGCACAGAGAAAACTTAGTTGGCAAGCGGGTTCTGGAGATAGGAGCCGGTACTTCGCTCCCTGGTATTCTCGCCAGCAAGTGCGGCGCGATTGTGACCTTGAGCGACTCGGCGAGTCAACCAAGCACTCTGCAGCACATCAAGAGGTGTTGTGAGTTGAACGGCGTCGCGGATCAAGTCCAAATCGTCGGTATCACCTGGGGCTTATTCTTGTCCAACTTGTTCTCGCTTGGAAACTTGGATTTAATCATCGGTTCGGACTGTTTCTACGAGCCTACCGTGTTCGAGGACATAGTGGTCATTGTGGCGTTTTTGTTGGAGCAAAATCCCTGTGCGAAATTTCTCTGCACTTATCAGGAACGCAGTGCCGATTGGTCTATAGAGCATCTGCTGAATAAGTGGGGACTGACGTGTATGCACATAGCATTGGACAATCTCAGTACAAATCCTGATATTAACTTACACGAATTGATGCAAGATCATACGATACATTTGTTAGATATACAACGAGCGGTATAAGCAAATCAATCTCTTTCTCTTACCATGGTAGTCGGGAAACACGTAATTACTGTTACCAACATTCCTTGGACAGTGGGTCGTCACGAGCTTTGGCTGTATTTCTCCAAGTTCGGTTGTGTGACAAATACTTTTGTAGCGTTTGATAAACTAACTGGTCTCCATCAGGGTTATGGAGACGTAACGTTCTTAAAGAAGGAATGCATGAATGCCGCGCTCGAAAGTAAACATCCTTTAGAAGGGAAAGATTTAGTCCTATGCAAGAGAGAAAGTAAAATTGATTAGAGTTATACGTTTAATTGAAAGTATATCGCGCGAATTCGATAACGATGGCTGAGAGCGACTTAGAAAGCGAGCCCTTGACTGATCTAGAGGAGACATTTAACAGAGCTAGCAAATATCTGCAAACGTTGGTGTCGGAATTAGATTCAGGTCAGCTGCTTGCATTTTATGGTTTGTACAAACAAGCTACTGTGGGGCCATGCGACATCCCGCGGCCCAATTGGTATCAGGTGCAAGCCAAGCACAAGTGGGAAGCATGGAAGAATCTTGGGGATATGAGCCGCGAGACCGCGATGACAAATTATATCCACGGGATCGAGAAAATAAACCCGACGTGGGACGAGGAGGAGGAGGCAAAAGCCGGGTCTCAAAAATGGATTGTGTTTAGCAAGCTGTCGTATGGAAGCGCGGAATTGAACGACGAAGATAAGACGTTCTTAGATTGGATCAAGGAGGGCAATGAGGCAAAGGTGCGAGAATTTTTAAGTGGCGAACCCACGCTCGTCAACAAGCCAGACGAGGAGGGGATGCATCCCATACATTGGGCTGCGGATCGCGGCTATCTCGAAATCTTGGATTACTTGATTAAGAGTGGCGCGAATGTAAACTCGCGGGATCAGTACGGGCAAACGGCCCTTCACTACGTGGTAAGTTGCGATCACGTAGATGCGGTGAAGTACTTGCTTTCGATTGGAGCTCAGTCAAATATAGCGGATAACGACGGTATGACACCCAAAGAAATTGCGAACGAGCAGATCGCAGCTCTTTTATAATACTAACACATGCTGTACACAAGCACACTGCGTTTACAATTGTTAATTCTGTTTGCATATATTAATAAATCCAGTATACTGATAATTTCACATGGAAATCATAAAGTGCGTTGTCTTATATTACATTAATCCACTCCATTCTAATAGAGTAAATCTTTATTTATGTACAAATAAACTCCTCTAATAGTCCATTACATTCACAGCCTAAGCACACCTTAGGTAAATGCGTGATTTGTCATTAGCTAGATTTTTATAATTCGCTCACTGCTTAATTAATATTACGAGCGATAATTGCAAAATAAGCACACAGAAAATTTGTAGAGAATGCAAGGTTTGTTATTATCGATAGCAACAATAAAACAGAAATCTAAAAAATGACAAAAAACGATGTCAATTCTTGTAATTATATAATTTAGAAGTCTGTTTCTCGTCAATATGGCTTACTCTGATAAACTCTTATTTTTCTTACGTTTCCATAAAATATAATAATTGTTAACGTATTATATCTATCTTTTAATCAATAATACTGCATTTGCTTTTTTTAACGAATAACTATATATATTTCATCGTGTTTTCATTTTAATTGTAAAACAAAAATTTTATTGATTCATTGCACGAAATTTTAAACAAAAACTTTTTAACAAATATACATACTCCGAATTATTCTCGAATCTTTAATATTAATTCATTTTGTAATATGGAGATATATATTAATCTATATATATATGTAATGATTGTTAACCACATGCTAATTTCTTACATTTGACAAATCTAGCATTCTCAATGAAACAAAATACAACAAACTCGAGATCTTTTTCCCACATATTATAAAATAAATTTTACTCAGCACAAAACTCCAAAAAATGGAGTAACTATCAACGCTGCTCAATTAAAATGTTGAGAATAAAAAATTTACGTATAACAATTTTTAAAAAACGTCAAATCAAAATTTGATCTATTAATATTATATAAGGACACAATTATGATACAATTGTATGAGAATGATTGACAAATCTCTTGATATATATATATCTTGATATATATATCTTGATATATGACAAATCTCTTAGATATATATATGTATACGACATATGTATATGCACACACAATTTTTCTGTCTTATTCTGATAACTCAGGATCACGAGTTCATTGCATGGAAATATATCGTGATTTAAAAATTAATATTTAACTATATTAAAAGTCGAATCTTAGGTATTAACAGTAATTCAGAGCCGAATGTCAAAAGTCATTAAATATAAAGCAAGATACGTTCGTTTTGTAACGATTAACAAACAAGCTTCACTAATAAATATCACCCGTTGATTCAATTCCAATATATTAATCATGTCGGTCATTTCGTACATTAATTCGTTTTTCTATCAATGGACGTATCGGTTACAAATTCGTATTGTAAGTGAAAATGTTATTTAATGTTCCGCGGGTTAAAGTTTCACTCCTGTAATTATAGTTTCACGTATATTACACGCACCGAGCTTTGTGCGCTTGTTGAATGCTTACATTGGAAATGCGAAGTGTTCTTACTCTTAAATTCGTTTTTCCTTATTCGCAATAAGTATAAAAGTCGATAGTAATAGGCTGCAAAATATTATGATCGATTACGAAATTAGATATGTTCCTAAAACAGTTTGGAAACGACACATATACGCGGCGTGATAATAGCTGCCGAATGCAAAACGCCTTTAAAATACGTACTCGGGTCTTCCTCTCGTTTTCATACAATGGCAATTGTCAGAATGCTCTTATAAGGATTATCTTGCGAATTGGATACCGGATATAAGAAATCGTACAAATAGGGAGATCACGGAAAAAATAGAGTAACTCTGTCCGAATCTTATATCAAACCTACAAAATACTCGCCTCGTTTTCATTCACCGACGAATGAACGTTGTCTCTTTACATAAATACGATCACGAAGCTTTTTCAATCGATCGAAGATTTCCATTAACTTTTTACAATTCTTATTCACTTAATAGACTGTGTCAGTGACATATTGTCATGTGTAGAACTTTTTTAACCGTAATAAATCGGTGAATTCTCGAGAGTCCCAAACTCAAGATCGTAATTGTCTCTTGTATCGTATCGTGCTACGCTATAGGTTGGTGCTTTCTTGATCCGATTTAGGCCGTGCAGTAGGCGGCGGCGGGGGCGGCGGTTGCGGCCTTGGCGGTCGCTGGTGAATCCTCGGTGAGGCCGGCTTCTGTTGCGGCGACTTGAGAACCGTCACCACCGTATTGGTCTGCGTTTGGACATCTATAATATTACCTTCCGATCTGGTGCGTGCGTGCGCCTTCGCCTGCTGTTCACGCGGCGCATCCGGCCTCTCGGGCTTCTCCGGGCGTTCAGCGCCGTATAACGACATCGACGATGGCCTGCTACCCACGCTTGGGCTTCTCTGCAAGTTCGAAGTTGCCGTGTTGCCAGTGCTCTCGCCCGGGATGGCGTTGTTCCCCCCACGCACTTGTATTATACTGACCTGCTGTTTGTCCACGGAATACACATGAGCTCGTTCCAGCGTTAAAGGCTGTAGACGATTTAAAAGAAAAAGACTTAGAGTTTAATCATAAATTATTATATAATGATATACATAACAAATAATGCCATTAGAAAGCAAATATATATGTACGCGTGAGAAAGCTTCAGATCAATTGCGGTGCAGCTCTTATTTCACATATAGCTTACGTTATCTCAAAATGTAATATCCAGGCAGTGTTATTTGTTGTCCACCCGTAGTAACTACATTTATAAATAATTATCATATATCTGTACAGATGAAACTTTAGCTGCGCTAAGTTATTACTCACCCCCGGATCGGTTTCTAGATTATCGTTAGTGGAACGTGGCTGTTGCCTCATGAGACTCGACGGGCGAATTAAGCCGGGTGGTCGCTCAGGTATCGCTGGTTTACTGCTTATTCTTTCATTCGGTGTTACGTTCGTATTACTCTCTAGTTTTTTACGTAATTCGACTCCTTCTTCTGCTACAATTAAACATAGATATCATCACAATCAAATAATATTTTATATTAAAATATTTTAAGAAATATTTTACCTGTGTTATGCACGATATTAGTTATACTTCTCGGTGCTGCAATCGGCCTTTTTCTTTCTAATGTGGTTGGTTTCTCTGTAGGCACTGGTTTTGGTCTCTGCACTATAGTTTCATTATGTTCCATTTCTGGATGGAGGTTAATGTTGCTAATTATTTTAGCAACACTTGTACTATCGGACGAGTTTCCATTTGGTTTCTCCTTTGCACTCAATACATTTACTTTTGTATCGCATTTCTGCTGTTCTTGGACATTTTTGTCTACTTCATCGTAATTGAAGACTTCACTTTGGTGAACGACGGTTTCCTGCAATCGTTCGGGATTATCGGTAGAATGAACATCCGTCGAAATCAATTCTGAGACCGACTGTGATTTCGGTTCCGCCTCCGAATGCTTCTCTTGTATGTCTCGTTTTTCCACGTTGCTTTCGTATCTTATCAATTCGGTATTCACTTCGTGCTTTTGACTTTTAAACGTTGCTCGATTCAAAGTGGATGTCAAGGCTCTCGGTGGTTTGTCTGGTGTCGGTGGAGGTTTGTCATGTCGATCTGGAGTATTACCGCTCGGCGGTGTTGGCGCTAGTTTATTCTTTCGACGTGCTGCTGGTTTCGGGCTGCCTTGCGTCGGACTTTCACCATGATCACTAAGACTACTATTAGACACACAGCGGCGCATGCCGACAGTCTGATGTTCTGTATCATTGATGATGCCCCAAAGATCGCGATCAAAATCCACTTCGCCGGGGAAGAACCAATCTGCATACGTAACTAATTGGTCTACTATAAGACTAGAGTTGTTTGCTGTACTCATGTTCATCCTGCAAACATAACAAGCATAAGCAGTTTTTCTAACAGTAATGTGTTAATCATTCATTAAAGCGTTCTAATATGAATGTACACACACATATAACAAAGAAAGAATTGCTTACACTATTGTATTTGTGTCCTCTTGTGGACTCCAAATTAGATTTGGTGCGATGACGATAGCGATGTTCTGCGGTGTCATTTTATTTACATCTTGATTCTTCGTGAGCACAGCTAGAAACTTAATTAAAAACCGCAAATTTTCCAGGTTCGCCGGTGGTAACTTATGTAATACTTCCCAAAGAGCTCGTAATCTCATGTCACTGTGTGAAATTTTTACAGCAGCCATCCATTCGGGATACAATCTGATGTATAACCATAGACATTATATTATATGTACAGTAATAATTATTGATTTTGATTGGGTGTAATATTTACTTGTACGTCAATAAAGGCTCCGGTAATTCCCGTAAGTATGATTTCAATGCGCCAGCAATAACATGTGGATCTTTGTATTCAAGGGCCGTCGTTAAAGTAAGACAACAGGCGTCCAAACTTAATTTAATTCGTCGTGATTTCGAGGCAGCGCCAGCTATTCTGAAAAGACCTTCCTCCTCTATACCCAGACGCAGTAACGCGGATACACACAGTTGTATGGGCAGTGCAATTTTTCTGTTTGTTACTCTAAGATGCTCTTCAAGAGGATATCCATAAACAGGTTTCATTTCATTATCATCTGTAATTGTGATTGTAGTATAAGCGTCTTTCGCTTTTATTTATGAGTTGTACCAATTTGCTATGATATTACTACATAAAAGCATTTTTATAATTTATAATTTAACTTAAAACTTACTAATATAGCATTCCAATCCAGGTATAATATCTTCAAGACAATGCAATGCACTTTCATGATATGCTCGTTGAAGTTTTATATACTGAATAATCGTCTGAGCTAATTCAGTCTCACGTGACATGAGCTGGAACATTTCTGCTGCCAACTGATCTCGGCATTGCTCAACTTTCGATTCGGCATCTTCTAATTCTTCCCTCAAGTTTTCTATCTTTGTTGCTCCTGGGCCTATATAATATAAAATATAACATAAACCTTAGCTATTTTAAATAATAATTTTTCTAGCACATTTCAGAATCTTTATAAATTGCTTTGTATATGTAAAATAAATTAAAAGAATTTCATAAAATAATAATATATATAATATAATATAATACATCACAAATAAAACAAAGAAAAAACAAATCATTACCAGTACTAAGTTTACTATGACTAAGTTTAACTGCTTGAAAATATCTTGTTCTGGCACTGTCCATATCCATAGTAAGACGATGCAGATTTCTCTTATGCTTCAATATATTTGGTACGTCAGTGTCTAAAATATGTTGCAGCGGAGTAGCCACATATTGTTCGACTTTAGCCTCGTGATCCATGGCTTCGTTAGCCAGTGACATCTGCACTCGTCCACATTCTACTAGCGCAAAACTCATGAGGCCATCCTCGCCGGCATTCTCCAACATAGTTTGCCCGAGTACATACTCGGGGCATTTTTTCTAAAAAATAAAGGTTTAGCATATTAGCAATCATTTAATGAATTTTAGAATAAAAGCAATAAATATAAAGAGTCTTTAAAGAAGTAAATTTATCTAGAACTTGAAAAAAATATCAATTTTTTTACATTCTTTTAATATTTAGAATCTCCAAAAAAAAATAAGTTCCTATATATATATATATATAAAAGCTTTTAGTCAAAATAATAAATATGTAAATATATTTTAAGTTGTAAAGCACAAACATAATTTAATGTGCTTTGTTAACGCGCTCAAAAGGAGCTATTATCAAGCGTAGATTAAAGAAAAATAAAAAAGCATTTTGAATTACAAGAGAGTTTGTTGTATGGTTTTCCGACATTGATTAGAGATAAACTTTTTTGTATTGCAACTGTATTTAAAATTTTAAACACAGAAAAAAATTAAAAAGTATGTTTCGAGAAAAATTTTTTTCTGTGTTTAAAATTTTAAGTCGGTTGACATTATTTGTCAGAAACTACTAAACCTATTTCGATTTAAACTTTTATGTACAGATAAAATACACACCTATTTACGGCATGGAATATTGTCATTATCTATAAATTATCTTTCATAAATATTAAAACCAAAATTTTATTAAAAAATCGACACTGGTCTTAAAACCAAGCCATTTCAACAATTTGCAACATTTATCTCAGTTTAGATTATAGGAACAATTCTCTCTCTCTCTTCTCTCTCTCTTTCTCTCTCTCTCTCTCTCTCTCTCTCTCTCTCTTCTCTAATAATAATTAATAATCCTTTTAAATTTTTTAATTCAATTAAGTTGGAAGGCTACAATCATGTCAATCACCGATGTTTTTTTAACATTTTGTTTCTGAGTTTACATAACATAATATAACATAACTAATAAACATTTAATCATATCAAAATTTATATATAGATATTTACAAATAAAAATAAATAAAAATAAATTTAAATATGTACAAGTAGATGCGTAACAGAAATGGCTATCTTCTTAAAAAAATTATCAAAAATAAGCCATATATCTCTTTAACACTCCGGTATTGCAATAACAATTGCTAGTTGAGTTCATTGAATGTACTCCAAATTTTATACTTAATGATCTAAATCCTTAAATATAATTTTTCTATTTACCAAGCGTTTCTCCTTAAGAGCTGGATCTTGGGTGATAGTTTGATTCGGTGGATTTCCGAGTCTTTTATTGAGACAGGTGAGAGCTGCTCTAATCTGTTCAACATGCTTGTCAGCAGCCACTAAATCATCTGTTAGTACCTCCGTTTTACCAGATCTATTCACATGAAAAATAAACTTTCAAAGATATTGTACATTTGATAACAAGAAGTCTTATCTTTTATTTTTTTTGAAGTCTATTTTATCACTCTTAATCTATCCAATATTCATGTAATTAATTTTGAAGTCTATTTTGGAATATCTTTTGTTCAAGAGTATCTCAATGTTCTCTATTAGAACATAATCTGTCGCCAATTCTGATATATTATCTCCAACAAGAAACAGATACATCTACTTAATCAGAGTTCAATTCGTTTTCATAACAATAGCATTTCATTGTATCTTAATTGCTCATTATAATAGCCAATAGTGCTTTCCATATTAGGGTGTTTTTCAGGTAAAGATATAGTTGACATACAGTGTAACACATGAAATATTTCGTCTTTGTTTAATTGGCAAATAACAAAGATGATTTACTACATTACACTGTGTCATCTGTATCATTTGCTGAAAAACACCCTTACATTGCTGGAAAGCACCTATAGATGCCACAACGTATTATATTGAATCATTTTATTTTTTGTTTAACATTAACAAACAACAAGGGTATAATGATTCACTGTAGATGCTTTTTATTTGGTGATACAAGTCAATATGAGTATCATTCTGCCTTTGTTACTCATGGAGTGTCAAGAAATATAGAACGATGTTCGTATGCTGATTTGTGTTAATAATACTTGTTTTTATCAATGTAGGTTAATTTCAATTTCAATTCAACTCACTTTCCATCTTTTTCTAATTCTTAGAACTAGAAAAAGAAGAAGAGTTAATTGGACCAAGATTAAAATTAAACTGCATTAGTAGAAACAAGTATTATTGACACAAATCAACATACAAACTTTATTCTACTCTTCTGTTTCTTGACATTCCATGAGTAACAAAAATAGAACGATACTCATGTTGACTTGTATCACCAAATAAAAAGCACCTATGATGAATCTTACCTTTGTTGTTTGTTAATGTTAAACAAAAAATAAAATAATTCTTTCTCTCTCTCTCTCTCACTGGGATACTGTAACATCCATAGGTGCTTTTCAACAAGAGGCATAGACGATACATAGTGTAACACAATGAATCATTACATCCTTCTTGTTTGCAAACATTGAACAAAGAAATGATCACTGTGTTACACTACGTCTGTTGCTGGAAAGAACCATGTGTCTCTTGCCAGAAAGTAAATAAACAGGTAAAAATAGGGGAAACGGAAGACGGTGGTGCAGACTGGCAATTCTAGCTGACTCAGCTACCTAGAGAAGGTCTGATCGGCGAGCTGCTTCACCCGGAAAAACTGCTTCTTCATGGTTGACTGAGCGGTCTCAACACTCGAACAAAATCACGGCGACCTATCGTCCGGATCCCGCAGGCTCTTCACACACCGACGCCTTGCGACTCACGCTCACGCTCGTACATCCCTCTACGACTCCCTCGCCGTGTTCTTCTTCTTCTTCTTATTCCCTGGTTGGCTTTCCAACCTCACCGCCGTGTTCGCGCGGTACCAGTGGAAGAGCGCGGGGCGGGCGGCTGGGAGGGTTCTTCGTGTCACGACAAGGGCGGACGTCCGTCATAATGTTTGCATGATGATCTCACGGCCGGTGATGATGATCGACGCGCTTACGGTCGATCGGTTCTCGCGCACCATCGATAAGGATCTGCCGATAAAAGTCCAAACCAGCGCCTTCTCGCACCCGGTCGCGACGATGGGTTAGGTGATTCCAATCACCAGTCCACACCAGTCTAGTCTAACTTCGCCGTCTCTCTCGTTGTCTTTCTCACTCCACTCTTCACGCACTCTCCCTCTTTCTCTAGATTATAATAGATGAGTGAACCAACGTCCATTCACGTCGGGGAACGTTCTGATGCCCGGCAACGTCGTATAAATCAGAGTTGGTCGAGGTGTAAAGTATGAGTATCGATGGAACCGTGGCGCTCTTACGTCACGTCGGTCGAGCGTTTTAAGCGTCCTCTTCATCAGGAAACACGGCGAATCGCGGTTTACTTCAACCTGCTCAACGCACACGATCGGCCCGAAGCTCGCCGCATCAGGCGACCGCCTCCTCGAGACTTATGTTGTCCTTTTTGCTTCGCTCTCTCCCTTTCTTTCAGTCTCTTCTGTCGAACTGGTCGAACTCCTTCTGCGATAGTACGACGGCACGGCTGATGATCCATCAAACCCGCGCAAAAGTCGCTCGCCTCCAATCTCGCCTTTGAGACTCGCCCAAGATCGATCGATCGATCGATAGCTTTATCTCCTCTTAATGCCCGTTTTCAATGTAGATTAACTTTAATCATAGTTTAGCTTGCCGTTTATCTTTTTCTAATCCTAAAAATTAGAAAAAAATAAAAAGTAAGTTAAACCGAGATCAAAGTTAATCTTACATTGGTGTGGAACTGGGTATAAAACCGTTATCATACTAATAATTATGCGATTGTGATTAGTGATCGACAATTACTTTTTTCAATCGCGCAAATCACAAATCGTGTAATCGCTAGCGTGATTACCCAGACAGCACAGAATATTTATGATAAATATTTATTAATATTTATTTTTTGAAATGTGTTATATATAGATATTTTATACATATTTTACATAAAGCTTTATTTGAAATATTATTAAAATATAGACTAAGTATTTTATGCAATATTTATGATAAATATAAATAAATATTTCTAATGAGTATTTTTTATTTGGGTTATAATGTCTCATTAAGTATTTTCATAGCATTTATTATAACTATTCTGATAAGTAATATTTATAATTTCATAAAATTTATAATAAATATTTAAGATCTGTGCAATCTAAAACCACAAAAATATTTACAAAATAGTTAAAATAAATCTTATAAATATTTCTAAATATTTTGTAAATATTGTGTGCTGCCTGGGTACGACCGAATACTTCATATCGAACGGAACTCGATCGTCGGTCAAGAATCGAGAGCGATTTATCGACGATCGATAGATCTCGCGCGACTCTTCGCCAACTTTACGACGTCAGATGGTTTTTTTTTAGCAATGCGTACTTGCGCAGGCGGCTGCGCAGGTAGTTGTATGGATGAATGTATGATGTTGTGGCTTTCAGTCGCGCGGTTTCCCCGTTTCCCATGTGGCGATCTGTCAACAGTATCGGAGTCGTCGACGAGTAGACTGCTTCGAGACCGCGCGCGAAACGCGAATCACTCTCGTGCTGTAGACGCGACAGGTACATACACGACAATATCGTGAGAATCGTCCCGCGACTGTAATCATGGATCGAGCCTTTTTAAACGTGATGATCCTCAGCTGGGGATTTATGCTGGTCTTCACGGCGTTTCAAACGATGGGCAATATAGAGGTGAGCGATAACGCCGCACGTGAGTGTTGTTCATACCATTATTATTCATATTATCATTATCGCTTGCGTAGGCCGCGATAATTGAAGATTGAGAAATTTGAAGAGGAGCCCTTCGGAGTAAATATATTGAATCACGTTTGAATGGACGCGTGAAGGTTACATCGTTTTCTTCTTCGAGGAAAAATGAATTTCTGGCCGTTCTTGATGTGTTCGTTTCCAGAAATAAATGGCGTTTTAATGATTACAGCAATCGCACATTCTAGCCGTTTACAACAAGTAGCGGAAAGCACGTCATATCAGTGAACGCTCAGTGAATAATCTATTAGTGAATTCGGTCATTCGCGTTACGTTGAATCAGTGCACATTGAAGGCTGCTTTATATAAAGTATCTAAATGCAGCTTAATATAATTAATTTTGTCAATAAAATAATTATATGTATATTTTAGTATACATTTATTATAAATTAATTTTAATCTCGATTTAACTTATTTTTTATCTTTTTCCAATTCTAAGAATTAAAAAAAGATAAAAAATAAATTAAAATTAATCTACAGAAGGTAGAAATGGATCTATATATATATAAGTCTGTTTTCTACGTATCTAAGCTGGAAAAACTAGTGTACACTTTAGAACTTAAAGTGAAATAATATGTACATATTTTATATTTCACTGAAGAGAGAAAGAAAGTTCTACTCTCTCCAGTCCGATGCAGGAATAAAAACAAACTCTGTTAAATAATATGACAATATCTTTATTGCGTATAATTTAACCGTTTAATTAGCAAAATTAAATGTAAAAACATATATAAATATTTTAAGCCTAATTTCACCAATATAAGATTAACTTTATAATCTCGGTTCAATTTATTCTTTATCATTTTTTAATTCTAAGAATTTATATCTTTTAATTTGACTTATTGTTTATCTTTTTCTAATTCTTAGAAAACGATATACAATAAGTGAAACCGAAATTAAAGTTAATTTTACATTGGTGGAACCAGGCCTCAGGTATTTATATGTTTTTATATTTAATTTTGTTCATTTCATGTATGCTTTTAATAAATAAATCCTAATAGGAATTCTGATTTTGAACAACGCGTTTTCCTTACAATTCCAATGTTTGAACGGGGAAGAATATTATTTACATAATCTTTCATTCAGTCTGACGTAGGCAGAGTCGGATTAATAGTTTGATTGGATAATACTAGGCGATCAGCGTCGAGATCCCTTTTTTAGCTAATTCAAAGTGAAGCATAGCTATAGCATCTAGGCGTTCAAACACGAGCGATTTGTTTGAATTGCTTTCGCTTTTCCGCACGTGCCCATATTATCGGAGAACGGAAACGCTCGAAATGAGAGAGCGGACATGATTTAATTTATGCCCGTTCTACCAATACATATTGACATTTATCTCGATTTAATTTACTTTAAAGCTAAAGAGTACATTGAACCAGGAATAACTCCTAGTTTATTCAAATTTATTATATAATATATTATTTATATCAATTAATGATTAAAAAGATGTAAAAAATAAAAAATAAATTTTTGTATATAAAGGATTTTACATTAACAGTAGCTATCATATATCAGAAAAGTTTTTAAATAAAATATGAATAACACAATAAATTACATTTTGAGTCAAATACACCTGAACATATTAACAGAGTCAAAATTAATTTATATCGATAGAAATGAATGTTAGAAAAAGAAAGAGACAAAAAGAATGAAGGATTAATTGTGCTAGGTATCGATGAATATTTGATTGCTGTGAAGTAAATGAAATGTATTAGTCTATAAAGTTTTAGAAAGTACACGGATCAGAGGACATCGTGTGATTAGTCGCAGTTTAGAAAGTAGCAACAAAAGGCAAGGAGCTAACTGGTCACGATCGCCGCAAGCGCGAGACTGGAACGCCTTTAAATTATACGATATCATTATCGACTACTTTCGGCATTGCGAAACCGACGATCTATGAAATACTCGTGTTATACAGCTTTTCTCCAAGAGCCAAAAAATATCTTGGTGAAACCTAAAAAGATGCAAACGACTGAAAAAGATTCTTTTACGGTATCTTAAACGTGGAGAGGAAAATCATTGTTTTTATAAAGTTCTGTCGCTACACCGAAAGAACGACTTTGAAGTATCTACAATTTAGTTACAGATTTTGTTGGACTGTTTATTCTTTCTGTATATAAGAACACTTCTTTCTCTTTTCTTATCTTTCATATTTAATAAATAAATATATTTATATTTTTACCTCTATGATTTTGTTGGATTTTTTCTGTCTCATTTTTTAATATGTTTTAATACTTCATCATTCTCCTGCGTTATCTCGTTTGCGCGATTTGACATTGTTCCTGAGGATATCATTTCTGGATCTAATGACATATTTTTTCTTCACTCAGATATCTTGCATAACATTTGTTTTCTTCGAATAGTCTTCTGAATTTCATGTCTGAAACAAAACTTACATAATATAGATATTCCGCGTGATATCGCAAGTATAATCTGGGAGTGCGTGAAAATTACATTCTGGCAATTAAGCTACTGGTAACGTCTGTCAGTCATTTCTGCTATTATCTCCGTAATTCAGAAGTATCTTTGGATATGTGATATCTGTGAAATTTTTAAGAAACGCGTAGCGGAATAATTGATCGCTGCAGCGCGGTACAACGATCTTTGTTTACTCGCGAATTCACCGGCCGCTAACGATATCACGTCCGATTAGCTCACAAAAGTCGCATATGTAATTTAGATCACTGGTGCTTTCAGAGTTTTACAAATTACAATAATATTCTTTTCTTCAATTTTATAAATATTTTAAGAGAAAACGAAAGAATCACGGCATCGTAACTGTGAGAAGAAAAATTCAGATATATTGAATAATTAATCAATATATTTATGCAATGAAAGAGTCAATTACGAAGATTTCAAAGTGACTTCAGAATGATAATATTTTGTAATCACGCTGACCTTTTAAATATACTCGTCTTGACAAGTTTTTTCTGCCAGTATAACTCAAGAATTTAAAATTAAGTGCCCCTGATGTTATCTAATTCCAAATTAATTATCCTTAATAATGTATGAAATTCCATTTCATTGTTTAAATAAGTTTTAACAATTAATAAAAAATTACAGTCATTTGTGCCAATTACAAATGCTTATAAATATTGGATTATTCTGACCGACTTATCGGATTTTTCTTACGCGAAAATTTTATATTATCGCATTGATAGCCTTATTTTGCTCGTTTAATCGCAAAAAGTTCACCCATTTGTTACGTCAGACTTCCAAGAACTGAGATATTAATTTCTTCTTTTAAAGATCTTGAAGATATTGATCCTCGATTAAAATTTCATGATTACTATCGATAATGATTCTTGCAACGTATAGTATACTAAAAGATATAGTTCGCCATTTTTTTTTGTATGTAATAATTAAATCGCATTGATTTTTTGTTGTTGCTTTATTATCTCGGACTTCATGAAAATAACATTTCTTAACTTTGAGCTAATTCGATGTCAATTTTCAGCGATATCGCATCCTGCTAGATTGCAATCGAGTCATTATCATATAATGGAGATTGCCTGAGATTGCCCGTCAATCGATGACGTCGACACGTCGTCATCGTAGTCTAATCGTAATTGATTTAATTATGTGAAGTATTCAATTGGGGAGAAATAGAATTACATTTTTGTAAACAAAATTTCTTTTTTGTACATTTAATCGCCTAAATTGTTTCGGAATGTACTAAGACTGTGAAACATTAAAAAACGTTATCAGTAAGTAAATCAACATTTTGGATTTGCTATTGCTTACGTTATTGTCTT